AATAATGTTCTCAGCGTTTTTTTAATGTTTCACGAGCCAATCTCCCAGGGTTCAAAAGTGTCCCAAAGTTTCTACAGCGCGTGATATTTTTCATTAAAAGAGCGACATAAAATAGCATAGTTACAAAATTATAAACTACATATTGCATAATCTGTTCGACCGAAAAGATGTTGCTGCTGGTTTGCAATTGACTTGAAAAGTTCGGTAAGAACGTTAACCGTTAGTTAGAATAATTTTCTTCAAAACGTCTGTGCTGAAAAGGTTTATATTGCAAACATTTTACACTGTTCCCTTTAAATTATGATATTATTCTGTTCGCATAAAAACAATTGAAATAAATAATTAAAACAATGTGCTTCTTTGTTACATGAATTGTACTTATATTACTAACATTGTTAATTATGTATTAACATCACTAGAAGAAGAAACATTGTTTACATTGTTTAATAATAATAAGGTTATAATCATCATTACTTAGAGGTAACCCATCATTACCCATTACCTCCTATTACACAGAGTTAAAAGCAGAGTTCTAATCAATGAGTGTGTACAGTTACTCTTAATCACATTCTAGATATGGGAATATTACGGCTCACGCTGGCAGGACGGAGTGTAGTTATGATGACCTGATATAGTGGTGGTCACGAGAGCTTTGACGTCACGGTATCCACACATCACCAGATGTTATAATTTCATTAATGTTCTACAAAAATAAGAGATGTCATTTACAGCAAGAGTACCAGCTCGTCAACTTACAGCGACTGATTTGTATTACAGTGTAAAGGAAATAGTATTTCAATTAAGGGATGAACGAGCGAGTAAATAGTGATAATTCTAATGGAAAGTGTCGACAAAAATTATGTCTATGTATCATAGAAAATATTCTTACCATAAAACGTGAGCATTAAATCAGAACTTTTTCTATGCTCACATGCATTGTACTGAGTAAAAAGCGTAACGAATTGAAAGGTCATTCAAACATAAACTATTGAGGACCACATACTTCCCTTGTAAGTAAAGATCTTGAGAATAAATAATTTTTCATGTTAGCTTCTCCCAGGCCTCATGTTTACGTTGCACTTATGTTTAAAATGTCTTCATATTTTTATTTGTGTCATCTTGACTCAAAAACCCCATCAGAAGCTGCATCGTTTATATACACTCTTTTGTGACACATTCTACTCATAATACGCATTCGTATTTCCATGCAAGGTGTTGATAAGTGAGGTGCCCAAAATGTTCTCCAGAGGAGAAACATATTTCTAAAGATCAAGGCCGACTAGGAGTATATGAACGTGTATTGCAGCTCCTGAAAGTCGTGTTCGACAACCTCCATATGTTCTGTCGTATGAGGGCATTTCTCCAGCAGCACTTTAATCAAGGGAAATGTCGTTGCCTGTAGCTCTCGTTAATGAATGCTGCCGCACATCTGTTGGTGTAGTTACTGACTATTCTGCCATATAACTGATCAATTGCACGAATAAAGAGCGTTAGGCCTACATATTACACTATTAACTTTGATAAATATTCAAAATTTTTGTGAACTGATTAATGAGTTCTATATATAATGTTGTAAATAGATTTGCTGTTTAAACATCAGCCATTCCTAAAATAAATTTAAATTCTTGTAAGCCTTCATTTCTATCAATACGGTATGCACTGCATTTTCTCAAAAAATATTTACACACCTTATAATTTTGGACACACACTGTGATTCCCGATATCTTCATTTGTTCTTGTGGCCACCATGGGTTGTGAAGATCGACATTTCGAACCTGTATGAGAGCATGGCTTTTCCTGGCGCTGTTTCTGTCAGAACGCGAGTGTTCCTCGAGTGCGTTATGCTATTTTGCTTTCAATATGGCGCCCTAAAAACTTCATCCTCGAGCGTCATCTGTTTTGTGGGCAATCGTCGTGTCAGGCGCCGAACGTGAGGCTGACTGCGGAGTATTGCTTTTGCAGGCGTTTTGTTCATCCTCTTTCCAGCACGCGCGCGAAAGCAGGATTTTCATCGTGGCTCTGTAGGACTGAACAAAAGTGCTAGAATTTATTAAATTCTCGAATAACCGTCTACCAAGACATTTATGCTTCTTATATGTTATTGACATTCTATTTATAACAATTCATGGTTTAACATAAAATTAAAAGTGTTTGGAACAAATGATGTTCGTTCATTTGAATCCAATTTCACAATAAAAAAAATTTAATTGAAAAGTTTTTAATGGAATACAAAATTATTGTTGAAGAATTGTCTTCAAAAATTGTTGTATGAATGGCATTTCTAATTAATATTGAAAAAACCTTAGAAAGTCATTTAATCTCGTAGCCCGAGACGAACCTGCATGTACTGATCTGCTTCAATATATACCATCGAATTATAATTTTACTCTGAACTAGAAACTAGTCATTTGTTGATCAGGCCAAGAGAGTCATGGATGCAGCCGTAACATTATTAGGCATTAACACAAATATTTAGTACAGATATAAATAAATGATAATTTGAAATTATCCACAAGACCAAAAATAAGCACTCCAATGAATTCAAGCGTTTTGGATACATTGGTTCACACTGTTTATATATACGCCTATAAACTAGACGATTAAGCTTCGCCTACCGGCGCGCTCGGAAATGTACAACAGTTTGTGCTGAAGTCCTAGAAATTCCGTGAAGAAATTACCGTAGCAGTTGAATTGCGCCTGATCCATCACTGCTGCACGCCTGCAGCATAATTAAACTCGAGCTCCTCCAGTCGCACTGGCAGCTTTTTCGACTTGCCTGAGTTGCGCATTTATTAGAGCGGGACAAAATTGTCCCACGGCGCATGCGTGGGAAGGACGCGAAAGAATCACGGGAAAGTATAAAATTAAATATTTTTAAAACGGTTTCCCGATGCCAAGACTCGGCGTATCGCAGTGGAAGCTCGGCCTTGAAGTGCATGCGTGAGCTGCATGTATATTGTATGCTTGGTAGGCCAACACATAGGAATATTCGTATTGATGTATCCAGTATATATATGACGAAATTATCAAAATTGAAACAGTGCACTATTACTTTCAAAATATCTTTCAATGCTAAAAAGTAGAGTGAAATTTTAGAGAGACTTTCGAGTTTTAAACATAGCAAAGGATTTGTAAATTTATTGAAGACATTTTCATAGGATCACTGCAGAGACCATTAGACATAAGTATCGTTAAATTCATTCGCATAGCTCGTATAAAGTCAGAAATATTTTAACAGACTGACAAAAAACATAAGATAGCCATTTAAGTGTGCAGATATTTGTTCGAGGCTGTCGAATGACAGCTTGACACTAAAAACTTCATTATAGCTAAATTGTACCGAATTTCCAAAGCATTAGACGATCGATGGTATCTAAAATAATTATTGGATATTCCGCCACATTTATGATTTTTAAACGCACAGCTCATCTCTTGTCGGGTTGCGGTATATGAGAGCCATAAATAAACTAACGTAAATATACCGCGTCGTCATCAAGCCCTAACATTTAATTTTAAAAATGTCCACTCGTTGCATTTTATATCAGAAATCTCCACTAGAAGACCTTGGAGATCTACATGGTACCAACGTGGCCGTAAATTTCTCAGCAAAAGAGCTAGACCAATATCGTTCAGGAGTCTGACGCCATCTTGGACTGCCAAACACGGCGATTTGGGCGGAAATTCTTGTGATCCAAAAAGTTTACGACTTCGTGTTTACGCGCGACCACATCGCGGCCGCGTAGCACGCGCCTGTTATGTGCCTCTGCTTGTGCAGCTATTATGGAGATAATCTCATCACATGAGCTGAGTTGTCTCAATAGTATATTGTATCCATTAGATGCTGGATCTAATGGTATCCATAAGATGCTGAGAGAAATGGTTGAAGTGAAGCTGGATCTAATGGTATCCATAAGATGCTGAGAGAAATGGTTGAGGATAGAATAATTTGAAGGGGACGGAATATGTTTTTATGAATCTGTATATATTATGACGTATGACAAAGCCAGGCTTCACATCACTCAAAACTGCGAATAAGACACGGAGATCAACCTACGTATACATCGCGTACTGTACTGAAAAATTATAGGAATTATGCAATAATCGCAAGAATTGAATTATAATTAGCTTAGAGGAGCATGAGCAGATACGTACGGTATCCTACTGATTATGGGATGAGGGTTCTGTATAGATTAAAGACTAATTTTTAATTTCACTAGTGAGGATATTCCTAAAATGCTCAAGCAAATGTTTTACATTTATTTAGATGATTTATATAAAATCTAACGAAAAAAAAAATTGCTAAAATCATGAAGCTGGCTTATCGTGGTTCGTTGAAGTTTTTAACGGAACGTGTGGTGTCAATATGTACGAGATGGAAACTATGCAAATATTTTAAGCATGAAAGTAACTCGATAATTAGTAATTAAATCAGTTACGAAATATTCAAAAATTTATCTGAGAAATTGATGACATCGTCAATGAATTAAAACTAATGATAATTCCTTCCATTTTACAACGAGAGTATTAGACGCCGCCGTTAAAAAAATCGAACTCACTCGTTCTGTAATACTTGTTGTTACCAGACTCTCATTTTATTTGAACCGTTGTGTAAAGTTAGGGCTTTGGTATTGAAATGAACCTTTGTGTGAAGCTTCACAATTTTCTGCAGCATGAAATAGAAGAAATTTCATCCAAGAGAAGTTAGGAAAAAAGAATATTTGTTGTGACCTTTGGACATAAAATGATGCGCATTTCCAACAGTAGACTACTGCCTTCAAAATGCATCATCTCAACCACCAGCAATGATGTTTAATATGTGAATTACTTCACATTTCTCCCCAAAGTCTAAATGCTTAAGCTTGGATTGATTGGTCAACACATGTAGAGTATTATTTAAAAATATATTTTAGAACATATTTTTGCATACTAAAATTTTCCATTTCACTCTTCGCCTTACTTATTCCTGAAGAAAAACTGAATTCAGTTCCATCTCTCCACAGGTCATCATGGGATGGGTTAGGATCCGCGAGAATATTTCCATTGTACGATTCATGGTTATACTCTCACTGGTCTGGACAAGTCTGGCGAGTGAACAATCAATCCACAAATCAACTAACAACTTCGGGCCCGCCAATCAGTCATTTCTTAGCCGTGTTACGTCCGAGAAATCGGCCGTGGCCGACGGAGGCGAACTTAACGTTTACGGAACCAGCAGCGAGGATCACGTGGCCCAGGAAGCCGAAGGTGAACCTAACCTGCTGATCGACGACGAGCTCAGGACTAAACGCGACGGTGAAAAATGGAGCAGTTTACGCGGCAGCTGGGGCAAGCGGAACCCTGCCCAGGTCTGTGCCGTGAGAGTGTCCCTGAACTTCAAACTTTAATTCAGATTTTAGAAGTTTCTTGACAGAAAAATAATTGTGAAAAATTTCAATTAAAATTAAATAATAGCGGTAAACATTTTTCGATCTCGTACATTTTACAAGGAAGAAATGTGGCATTCATTATCTTATGTAATGATGACTGAGGCTATATATTTTTCTTCACAGCTCGACCGAGGATGGAATAACTTCAGAGGCACGTGGGGTAAAAAAGCTGACTGGAGCTCTCTCAGGGTGGGTAATCTTATGGCATTTATTGGAATACCATAAATAAAATTATGGTATTTATTAACTAAATTGCATCTGAGATCATTGTTTCATTAATGCAGTTCCTCTTTCTAATTTATAAAGGGTAAAAACCACTTCACCACTCCGCTCCAGGGCTGTGATTCTATTAAATACATGATAAACTTTGTATTGAATTTAGTAATACATTGAAAATTTATTAGAAGAACTTTTATCTTCGTAAATAATTAACGTCATTACTCCAGGCCTGCTGTCCTTCAGACGAAAATCCTGGGCGTTAATGTTTTGCTGACGATGTTTTGGTCATGATATTGGAACCTCATCTCTTCACTCAAACTTAGATCATTAAAAATAATTTATTATTGTTTTAATAGATTTCTGAAGCTTGAGTTCTCGAATTAGGGAGCTATATTCAGAATGGCTTATTCACAAGAATTCTAGTATCTTTCCGGGTTGAATATTACTTTCACAACGCTCTGCTAAGTAGTTTATTAACAGTTTAACATCAGTTATTAGTGTAGGTTGGCTCAACTCTCTCAGCGAGCTGGGACTCGAATTATTGCGCTACGCCTACAAATGCGCATCGCGAATACTGCTGAAAAGAAATTAAAAAAATTATAACTTGATATTTTCTTCATTATGATAAATTCCAAAAGGGAACCTAACCTACGAAATAAACAAATTTGGGAATTGGACTTGAACACCACTTGTAAACGGTGTTCCTTGACCTTGTATACGGTGTTCACTTCCCTTTAACTCAAATGAAGGCCATGTTTTGGCTCATGGAATGATTTCAAATCGTACTATTTAGAAATAATTGAAACATTACTTTTGAATTGTTACCACTGTGTACTCATATCAACGATACAAACGATGCGATTTATATCACTATAATTCTAACTCTGATGCGTTACTGGGAAACGTACTTTCTCGTTTATTTATCCAATTTGATAGGATTTCCATAGATATATATATAAATATGTGAAAATTGTGTTGTTCTATGTTCAGGTTTATAGATCGTTGTTTAATAAAGTTTCCATCATAAATGAAAAATAGTATAGGAGCTTGATGAGACGGCTAAAGTGGTCGACCGCAGCCCAGCTGTTAGAAAAAATAAATACTGAGAATAAAAGTAATACGCGCACATCTAACCTCGAATTTGAAACTTCAATTTCCATTGCAGGGATCCTGGGGGAAACGAGGCTCGGACGCCATGGCGGACAAGCGGGCAGACTGGTCCAACTTCCGGGTGAGTTGCGGGCAGACTGGTCCAACTTCCGGGTGAGTTGCGGGCAGACTGGTCCACCTTCCGGGGGAGTTGCGGGCAGACTGGTCCACCTTCCGGGTGAGTTGCGGGCAGACTGGTCCACCTTCCGGGTGAGTTGCGTGCAGACTGGTCCAACTTCCGGGTAAAACTTCCGGGTGAGTTGCGTGCAGACTGGTCCAACTTCCGGGTGAGTTGCGTGCAGACTGGTCCAACTTCCGGGTGAGTTGCGGGCAGACTGGTCCACCTTCCGGGTGAGTTGCGTGCAGACTGGTCCACCTTCCGGGTGAGTTGCGTGCAGACTGGTCCACCTTCCGGGTGAGTTGCGTGCAGACTGGTCCAATTTCCGGGTGAGTTGCGTGCAGGCTGATCCACCTTCCGGGTGAGTTGCGTGCAGACTGGTCCAACTTCCGGGTGAGTTGCGCGCAGACTGGTCCACCTTCCGGGTGAAAAGTGGTCTACTTATCGAAAAAAATATATGAAAAAGACTCAATAGAAAAACTCAAAACATATGTTATTTTTACAAATTCTTGCTTACGACATTTGTTTTTAACTTCTAGTTTATTGTCTTGGAATTCATTTGTGTAACATGATTTTCATTAATGGAATAGGCAATGTTGAATGATGAGAGAGATACGTCCACCCTCTTAATTAAACTAAACTAACTCAACAAATGAAATTTCTCGAATCTTTGTAAACTTTCAATTATTTTTTCGTGATACATAAAGCAATTTCTTGAATATATTAGAATGAGACCATCATGACTAAAATTAAAACAAAAAATAATGTAATAATAATAAAATAATTTTCTGGCGTTGACCATATTGTGGATCATCAATCATTATCAATATACCTACGTGAGATATTAATTGACCTCTAAATCATTGAATGTTCCAAGCACTCTAATTTTTTTCAAATTCAAATTAAATCTTATTACATTTCTAAACAATACCATTCTTGAAATAAAAAAATTAAATTGAATTACACCTTTAAAAAATCACAAATGCTCGTACTTTCCCAGGGCTCCTGGGGAAAGCGTACCTCAGCACCGGAAGCTTCACTCGATGATTCTGTAAGCGACTTGGATCAATTCGATCACGACTACGACGCGTTCAATGAAGATCCATCGTCCGCACTGTCACCTGATGACGCAACGCGCCTGAATAACGACGCTCTGTTTCTTGAGACTGTAAAGCTACTATCCCAGAGAGCGCAAAATAAAGAAGACTTCGCTGACCAAGAAATCTTAAACTCTGGCGACGATGAAGAACAAAATTTGGTTCAAAAGAGAAGTACAGCGGCATACTCTGGATGGCTTAAGAGGCCTGTTGGAACGCTGCTGTTGGCGCCACGTTCTGTGAACTGGAGCAGCCTGCGAGGTGCGAAAACTCCGAGTCACCAAATAACCAATTCACATGACACAATAAGCTAATAATACCAATTTAACATATTGGTAAACAATTATTTTTTGTATTAATCATATTAACTATAATATTTTATGCGAAGGCTTCCAACCATTAAAAGAAAGCTTGATAAAAGACAGCTCACTTGCCATGCTGCCACCTGCTTCTTCAATATACCAACGGCATTGCTGTGCAGGGCAATTTGAGCGATCACACTGAGCTGCGTGAATAAATTGCACGTTAATAGCATTGTTAATACGTAGTTCTTAGTGTCTTGGACTGAATTCGAGGTTACCTAAATCTTCTCTTTTCAGCCAAGTAGGTACCTAACGGTGAACCCAAGGACATTCTTGATACTCTGTCCAGGTTTTCTGCCGGAAAGTTCGACCGTAAATCTGCACACAATAGAGCAGATCTAAATAGATACTATAATAGAAATAGATAAATAGATACAATAGATGTAATAGATACTCGAAAAACAACATGAATTTTTAATCTCACTGAAAGTTAACAAAATACCAAGAAACTCGTTATACATAATCGATGGCTAGGTACTGAACGTTGCGAAAAAAGAATAATCGTAAATTCAGGCTGTCAACTATCTAAATATTTCATCTACGTGTAAATAATTTAAGAATGACAACAATACTACAATAGCGTAGAAAACAAAACAAGCATCACACTTACGAGATGTGTCACGACGATCCTATTCATCAGTTCGATTGGTCGCTAAAAATAGACTGTTACATTGAAACAACATCAAGTTTACACACGTCTGGACAGAAAGAAGATGGAGATTCGGTTACACGATAATGGCCGACATTTTACGACAATAAGTAAAACAAAGAAATTTCCAGAAAACTACTATTGCATTTCACAATGGGCATACCACGATCATCAAGATCAAATGAACACTAACACAAGACACAGTGAAACAAAGACTTGATATGGACAATGAATGAACTGGATTCCTACGGAATGAATGAGCTACACATCTCGCCACGTGCTTATGCAGGAGTTCGTCACCAACTCACCACTAAATGAGACGCCGCATGCTGCACGCTCGCAAGCGGAAGTAGAGCTAGGCGGATGGTTCTAAGAGAAGGCAGAGCGCTGTAAACCCTAAACTGCAATAGTTTAACTCGCGCGACACGACACTTAGCAACCACTATTCTGATGATTTAGATACTTTGAACCGTATTTAAACGAATTTTTTTGCCCATGCAAAACTTTAATTGATAGTATATTTATAAAACATTGGTATATGATAATAAAACCAAACGAAATCCGACCAATGATTTTCATTTAGACCCCGTCTACAAAAACATTGATCGTACAATAATTATTATGTTCCACCACCCGCAGGCTCGTGGGGCAAGCGAAGTGGTCCAACTAACTGGAGTAGCTTGAGGGGCACGTGGGGCAAGCGGCCTGCCAAGGATAGCAACTGGGCCGGCCTTCGGGGCACATGGGGCAAGCGGCCTGCCAAGGATAGCAACTGGGCCGACCTTCGGGGCACGTGGGGCAAGCGGCCTGCCAAGGATAGCAACTGGGCCAATCTTCGGGGCACGTGGGGCAAGCGGCCTGCCAAGGATAGCAACTGGGCCAATCTTCGGGGCACGTGGGGCAAGCGACCTGCCAAGGATAGCAACTGGGCCGACCTTCGGGGCACGTGGGGCAAGAAAAGTGAGTTCATTAATTAACTGAAACTTTTTAATTAATTCACTAGGAAAGCTTTGAAGCAAGTATTTCCAATTAGCAACTTTTTACATTTAAATACAGAACAATAATTGAAAAGCGTATAGTAATGTATTGTACAATGGATGAGCGCTCTACTTACAGCTGTTGAAATAATGATCTGAGAAAAGAGTGTATCATAGAGAACCATTAAAAGAAAATGTATGAAGTTGTTCACAATTTTAGGCAGCCAACTATTTATGATTAATTATAAAAGTTGACTTCGCTATTCTTTATAATATGTTCGTCTGCTAATTGCCCAAACATTAACTTTCAGCGCTGAACTCATTTACTTTCATTCACTACGGGACCCTTGCAACATTTTCAGTAAGGGTCGTAGAACCAAATAGTTGTTTAAATTGCATTGCGGTAAATTTTATATTTCAAACTTATGCGATTCAAAAGGTTCTTTGGAAGTCTTTTGCATGATAAGCTTCAATAATTCACAAATATCAATTGTTTTTGTGGGCAGGTGGAGGACAGAAATGGAGCAGCCTGCGAGGCACTTGGGGTAAACGAAGTGATCAAGTCGACGGTGAGTTGCTCACTTGTGATGGTTAGCGCGGGAATTTTTAATTAAAAAATTTTTAAGTAATTTTTTTTAATTGATCGCAGGAATTTTTACTTGATCTCCCACAAAATGGTCACCGGATTATTATTTAGCCGTTTGGGCTTTTTAATTGAAAAAGAATAGGAATTATATCATATACAGTGAGAGTCGAATAATTATCATTAAGAGGGAGGAAAACATTAGAATTTAAAAAATTTATATGTCAGAATGATGTATTCAAGCGTAATCGATTAAAAACGTTTACGCTGTAATATTTACAACGTTACATTTTTCTTGCAAATCTTATAAAGCCTAATCTTAAATTGTAGAATTATTTGGTTTGTCTTTATAATATTGATAGATTTATTTATTTAACATATAATGTATAGATTTATCAGGCCATATCACTACTAATTCTTGGTTATATGTTTTCATTTATTGCATTAATATGTCTTGTCTTTTTAAGCCTATAATGCATTTTCATTCACTGCATTAATATGCCTCTTCTTAAGCCTATAAATAATAAATAAATAAATAAAATAAAAATAAAAATTATATCGTAAACCCGAAAATTTTGAAAGCTGTTTCATTTCAGAGTTGGATCTCGGAGACGAGTAACTCTGGCTCTGCGCTCTGGCTACAATCTATTCTCTCCGCCATCACTCCGTCATCACTTCCACTAATGCAGGAGACGGAGGCCCACATCTTACTTCCCAAATTAGTTCCGTTTCAGGCAGAGTGTTCTTGTTTGTCGCTTCTTAGTAAATAAATTTAATTACGAATTGCTGACAAATGAAGTTAATTTTAAGCGCTGCAAAAACTCGCCTGAATATTCACCGAAACGCCTAATGTCTACCGGTAATTCGGTGGTTGGTAATACATAATCATGCAACTTAGGGCAAATAATTCCCATTGGCGCGATATTTATGAAGGATAAACTTTTCATGTGAATTTTTTTGTTGTCGCACTCGGCGATTCCAGTTTTGTTATCCCATTCAAGAATGGATATCAGCCATGGCGATAGACCGATACGACTATATATATATTCCTCATTTCAAGTTATCTGTAACGAGAGATGGCTTTCTTCTATCTTTGTTCTATCCTGTACTCTGAGATGAACTCTCCAACTCAATTCCATGAAGCACGACAGCGAAATTAGTGCCCGAACAGCTCGATCTTTTCGCCGTTTCTTAACTCAGTAGCATTGAATTATCGACATGAAAAGGGCCTGGATGCTCGTAAATGTAATTGAATACTATTATTGTCTATTATTGTCATTATTCACATAACTATTGCTTAACTCATCTGAAACTAATGAGATTCAATAGCATATTCTTCTCTTTTATTTGTTACTGTCGGTAACTTGGAATATCGGCAGATATGGTGCGAAAAACATACCTTTTGCTCTAATTATGACTATTATTTTCTTGGACAAACACAACTTTTACTCGAGAGGGGAAAGAATTAGGTAAAAATATACTCATTAAAATATAAACACACTTCGAATTTTTCATTTAATTAGATTGAGAATTAAAATAAGGTAAATAACCAGCATGCTGTTATAAAATGAACAGCCAGTATACGTTTAAGATATGTGATCAATAGTTTCATCAGTTCAGACCCGGCATTGGAATGAGCGACTGTCATCTTTACTGAAATTGATAGAACTCAGAGATTTTTGAGTGTCTGAAGGGTTTTTGTTTGATATCATTTAATTGGATTCATAAACATCACGCAAGCAGCGATTGCTCTTCAAACAAAAAAATTCATACCCCAATTCACGAAAGCGTCCTGTGCAAACGCCATCACTTTGGCATTGAGTCATCAGGCCTGAAATTTATCCTCGTTATTCATTCTGAATAGAAAAATCCGGTGTAAACAATACAAGAATTCATGGGAGTAACGCCGTGAAACAAATTCTGTCCTCTTGGGAAATCTGGACCTGCAAGCTCTTGTCTACGCCCACGAATGTTTCAATGAAGCCTTCATTCCGGATTGAAAATAAACTCGAATTGGATCGGGGGAAATGTACCTGCAGCGGCTCTTTTTGTCTTTGATAAAAAAAATTATGCACTCATTAGTGGAAAATAGCGTTACGCTTGATCTCAAATCTTCTACATTTCAGCAGATATTTTCAAATTTATTTTAACAAATTTTTAACAGTCTATTGAAATTCTAGCAAGATTGGCACAACGGGAATTCAATTTAGATTTATGGTTCTGCTAGTCAGGTTATCCGACAATATTTCCAGATAGGTCAGAAAAGGCGTCTTTATTTTATTAATCTGACATTTTTTATACGTTGCTTCGCAAAATGAATCCGATTCTCAAATTGTCAATTAAAACACGCAAGACACGTCGATATTAAGCGGTGCAAGTCGTTAACATCAAGAATTGAATTATGAGCATTATAACAGTTATTGTTTATATTTACCTTGTAATTCTGTTGTATGTCTTTCTCCGCTGCAAACAATATAATAACGGCCAAGTGTATGTAACTCGTAACTTTCAGAGTGATGAACACTGGTTTACGTGTTTACCAATCTCAGATGAAATGCAATTTCAATGTAAGTGTCATTAGATGTCATGCGAATTGTATTGAATGATTTGCGTTTTCTCCCCATTCACTTGTACAAATATTCTTTGGTGTCATAATAGTAGTTACTTTGACACTTCATTAAACAAACGATCAATATTCTGCTAGTGAACACATATTTCTGGGTTAATTTGTTTAAATGTAAAATGAAATTTCTCACATGATAATTGTAGGCATAAGCAAAAACCGTACACCCATCGCTTGGAATTTTACAGGAGAAGTGCATAATTAAGACGTAACTAATATTCATCACATTCAAAGAATGGAACTTGTATTCGACATAAAATGTTTTCCCACATAGCTAAGAATTTGTGGTACATGTTTCTATGTAGGGTAGAATTCGGCTTATCTTTATCGTTTTGAAGCGTAATTTTTATTTTATTTTTCTTTATTCAACTCGAAAATTGAATACAAATTATATTTTACTTCGTTTGGAAAAAATCACAATCTCCTAAATTTAATTTTTGTTAATACAAATGCTTAGATATATTTTGTTAATGTTCCATCGGGTGCATGAGAAGTTCATTTTAAAAGCTAGGAGCAGAAATGACCATGATAAAAATTTCGTTGGACGACCTCTGTTCGCGGTAGCAACATTTTCTATGAACCCTTCCATATATTGACAGATTGAAGGGATTCTTAACATGCGATGTTAATTGTTGCACTCCTTGCTCGTGGGGTTCTATCATTTTATATGAGTTATAAATGCTTAAACCCGCGTAAATCATAAAACCTGCAAATCGCTGTCCCAACAGTAATGCTGAAATCTTTCAGCCTGCAGACCCCTATTCCGGGAGTAATTCTGAACCCATCCGCTTGCAGAAACGCTGGAAAATATCAGTTTTAACTCGACCGCAATATTTATTAAATTCTGAAACTCTAACCAATTCCTGATCAAATATCTCAAGTCAATAAATATCATTGTTATTGTTAGTGTTATTGTACTTTCAGTGTATAAAAACTGGCATTTCTATCGACATCTGCGTAGACTTATCGTGGCTTCAGACAATTTGCTTTGAATTTAAATCTATCATTTCGTCACATGAAATATTTTTTTATGATGAATGGAACAGTCTGTTTCACACAAAAAGTTTGAGGAATAACCAGAAGAAAACAGTTCTTCTAACAATACTTCTACTATTTGAGTCTGTGTTCAAAAATTGTACCAAGATGCTCAGTGGTGTAGCTGGAGAAGCTTCTGTGGTGAGTACAATTTTCCTCGTTGCAAAATAAAAGCATTATTTGCGTTTCATGTATTTTATTGAGACCACTTAAAGCACGACATCTAATACTTAACTATCGGTTCCGGTAATTCAAAAGAGAACAAATGTTCTCAAACGCTAAAATCAACTCAAAATAATTTATGAACATTTTTGTGTTAGTCCAGTCAGAACTCTATAGGTGCTTGTACACGGGGATAGTGCAGACGGCTAGTAAATCTGGCTAGTGACTGTCGCTTGGTGACTATCCGGCAAGTAAGCCTGTACACACGTGGAGAGTAGAAGGTGACGCTATCTTCTCTTTCGCGCCCGCCAGTGCGTCATTAGAAGCCGTCGAGTGAGGTCTGCGAAGATGGTTAGACCCCTATATATATATATACACGAGGCTAGTAGCGTGGACAGTTCATGCGCCGGATGAACTAGCGGCTAGTACTATCCCTGTGTACAGGCACCTTATACGTGATGTGACAGGAGAGAAACTATATTGAGCTCTACCTGAGGATCGGGTTCGTTGACTAAGGTAGTGAGGGATAAGTAAGACACATCTGTCCAGATAACGTATCTTGTATACGGGGTGGTAATACAGAGTTACGATACAGCGGTGGTATTATCAAAACATTTGCGCGGGAAGCTACGTAGCGTAACTGTACGGGGAGCGCAGCCGCGGGTAACAAAATTGACTCGTAAACAGGCCCTGGGCCCAACGCCAACCATCAGCATGCAATATCTACACATAGCCTCAGATAGGCCTGTGACTGAACGGCGCTGTTGTGGTGGGTGCTTTGTGTCAAAAGCCGTGAAGATGCCCGGCTGTGTTACGCTAGGGAAGGTATATGAATCGCACTGTGGACTTGGGCTATGCTGACCTCTAGCTATCCACCCACTGTACGCCTGCTCGGATATGTCGTAAGTAGAGTTCCGCACAAGTTTAGAGTGCCAGCTGAAGCAAGAGGAACCTATGGATTTACTAGCAAGTAGTAACACGGTGAATTGTGATAGAATTTTGTCAATAATCCGACATATAATATGTGATCGTGCTAAACGGTGCTTTTGGGATAAAAATGTCAATTGCCTTTTGTGCTATAATTTACAAGCAAATGTTGATATCTTATCAACATTTGTCACATCTTAGAGTTTTATGATCATTCACTTGAACAATATCTTAATGCCTTTTTGATTCAAAATTATATTAAGGTTGACAAGCCAACAATTTTTCTAGTTCTCTATAAACAAATTTATTTCTTTTTATGACAGTCGCAACTCCAACTCACGAAATTTTCTAAATTTTTTGTAACCTTCTAAAAATTTCTTCTAATTTTGAATGGGAATAATGCATTTATTTGCCCTTATTGCAAGAAATTTCGGTTAATGATCACAACAAGTGCATTGCTATTTGGATAACGTCTCACTCATTTGCGGTGCCTGAAGCATCAATGCTTCAGGAACCGCAAATGCCGCTGACACCGCACATTTTTCTTTCATCCAAGCGCACAGCGCACTGGTCGAGAGGAGCTTACTGGAGCTATAGGATGAACAAATCCAAGCCTCTGATTGGTCAGTTAGCCAGATGGTTTTGATAATACGCTTTTAGCTATGTCTTGCGTACGAAAGTTTTGATAATGCCAAAATTAGGGTGTACTCACGTAACATGTAACTTTTTGTCGTAAGTACAAAAAGTTACGAAGTTTTGATAATCCGGCCCCAGAGGTATAATCTATGGCGTCGACCGTAAGGTCGGAGCACCGAACGACACGTTACATCGCGGAGCGCTTATCAACTACTATGGGGCCTTACTTAAGGTTGCTAGACCTTATATAGGTTTCGCTTCCGCCAACTACTAAGGCCCCTTTCACACAGGGCGTGAAATCCCGCCGGCGTGAAAAAAACTGCCGCGGGATTTCCCGCCGAACCTCAGCGAACATATAAAATGTGCACTGCTATTCACACACGACGGCTTTTCACGCGGCGTGAAATTTCACGCCTGACGACCGCGTGTGTCAAGCTAAAAGTGCGGCGGGATTTCCCGCGACTGTTTAGCATGCAATGGGATTCAATGTAATCTTTCACACGGGGCGGTTTTTAGGGGCGGTTTTTCACGCCGCTACCTAGTGTGGTACAGACAGTGGGTCGGCGAGGGTGTGTGTGAGAGTTAAAGCCAGTTTTTCAATAGCAGGCACGGCGTCTCTCAACTGCATGCTGTTGTGGGTTAATTTGCCTTGCACACAAGACAATAATTCATCAAAACTTTCGGCAGACATTCGGAAATAATTGGAGAATTTTACTTCATCTTCTCTTAATTTTCAGAATAGAATGGCAAATTCACCTTCTTGTGGCCTTAATTTTACTATATTGTGAACCCAGCACCTCCTTTTATTTCTTTGCTGCCTTTTATGCAGCAAATATAAAAGGATAGCTTTCTTTTCTTTGCTATTCATAGATATAGTTCACAAAAACTGAGGACCACTTTTACGGAGAACAGCGCTGCATGACTGAAAGATTCCAGCGTGAAAAACCGCCTCGTGTGAAAGATAGCGCGGGAAATCCCGCGGCGGTTTTTTTCACGCCGGCGGGATTTCACGCCCTGTGTGAAAGAGGCTTAAGTCTTGATCACGTCATCTATCACGTGTCATCCAGATGTTGACTTGTCATCAATCTCTACAAGGTAAAGTGAATATTACGTCTCAATTACTTAAATAATAATGATTATAATGAGTCGCCAGATTGACACCGGACAGTCCTGCGTGAAAATAAATGAAAACGAGATTGTCGTTAATTTGAATGCAAAAAACATATTTAACCATTGAAAGAAATTATATAACCAGATCAGATGAAGCTGATGAAAAATTCACACTCTTTTTCAATGTTTATGCAATGTAATAGCCTCCACACAGTATCGGTTTGCACCTGCTTCGTTTAATAAACTAAATTAAACCTATTGCTTGGGTGGTAGATCACGTTTAGAATCGTTTGTATTTTCTTTGTGTGCCTGAGTCGTACTCTGTTGACATGAGACAGAGAGAAAACTCAAATAAAAGGGTGAAGCAATTAAGTACAGTAATTACTTTCATTTAGACCATGTAACGGAAGCGCATGTGTGTCAGATAACGGTCTTTTCCGACGCATGTCAATATTCTAAAATATTTGCTATCTCTGTCACTTGAAGAGTAACCGGTAAAAATGATTGAATTCAGATAATAAATTGGAAGCATGGTGTTGGCCCTTTAGGTCCAACATTCATATGCATACAGAGCATAACCATCGGCTGCTTTAATGATGTACAACAACTGGACCTGCACGGATTTCTTCAAGTGTCCTGTCTAGGCAAACAGTCGCGTGCGAGAGCCGTTTAAACTTTTGAATTTCAAATGAATTAAAATTTTTCGGTGAAACGAAATCAACAGTCAACAGGAGCTGAATGACAGCCCGGCTGCTGTCGCCAAATTGTTTTTCTAATTTTCCTTCTTAATGATGGTTGAATGTTCTGATCTTATGCGTCCAGGGATAGTAATTTGTAATTTAAAGACGTTTGTTTTATTTGATTTCTCCTATTTCCATGCACTCAACACTTTTGAAATGTATTTCAGATGTTGGCATTTTTTCCTGCACTTCACAATTATTTTAAGTACATTGCAGGTTGCGATTTTTTTTATCATAATTTGCCTTTCATTTTGAATTTGGTCCTAATTATTTTCAGCTTGTTTTTCGCTATAAACCTTTTTAAATGTAGTATACCATTATATATATTTCACCGAACAAAAATCCTTTCATCGACAATTTGAAGCAATTTATATTAATAAATCCAACTTAATACCGTTTACTGCAATGAAAACCTCGTTTTTTTGTGCTGAATTACAGCATGAAGGCCCTGCTTTATATAGAGTATTAATTGTCAGCCGTTGCAAATCGCAAATACTAACGCTATAAGATTGAGCAATCAAAGGTTTTAGTTTTTACTTGTTCAATAACATTCATCAATGACAGGTTGGATTTCTTCGTGAATTTCTGACTGATGATGTAAATTTGAACGTTCCATTTGCAACGATGAATGCTTATAAAATTCGACAATTTCAATTAACTGTTCAGATTTCACTGAAATACCGATGAACTTCTATTATGTTCTGCAACATAATATATATTGAACGGATCGGTTTCAACGTTTCTAATATGGTGACATAATTCCGTGTTAGAAGTACAATAGGAAAATCGTTTGCGCTAACCCCACTATACACATACTGTACGTACGGAAAATGTTCAAAGTGTTCAATATCGGTGTAGCCTGTAAATGAGTGGTCCTAAGTTTGTAAATGCACCTGAATGTAAATGTGAACAATTAAGGAATCTGTGAATAAATCTAAACAGGAGCGATTAAATATCCGTGATCAGACGCTGCATCGCAAGGCTGACCATCGAGAAATCAGTTAGACTTTCAAGGTTTTTTAACACTAGAATTTCAATGTTTACATCTTATATCCAATTATGACCCAAGTATTGTTATCAGATAAATTATTGAATCAAAATACAGCCGTACTGACAGCAGCTGTATTGTTTACAGTTACTCTGTTATATAATGCAGAATATTTTAATGATAATAATAAAATTTTTAATATAAAGCTTCAATCCCGTGACCTACCATCAATAAATATTCTCGAAGAAAAAGTAATGCAAAAAATTTCTGGGGACAATTTTTCCAAAACACACGAGGAATCAAACGACAGTGAATACGAAAGTTTACTCTCTCGACGGGAAAAAATTTATGTGGAGAGGTTCATCGGAGAAAGGCAGAGGAAAATCAAAGATAAATCGTGTCGTCGTATTTTTATGACTCCGATGTTCGAAAATTGGCTTAACAAGTTAGACAGTAAGTTCCCAAACCGGGTCAGTACAATCGCTCAAAAGATCATTCAGAAAACCCGGAGAACAATCAAAAATCATTTGGAAAAAATGAAACGAAATGAGAATCGTAAAATACAGAAATCATCACTACCAAAATTATTTTTAACATCTGCCAATAAGTATTCGAAACTTTCATCACACAATAATAGCACCAGTAACGTCTCAATAAGTCACTTAGAATCAGCCAACGTTCCAGCAAAATCGTCATCAGCGCTCAAGGGAGAATATATTGTAAGAAAACATGAGACGCGGCGAGTGCGCAGCAGTGCTGCACCATATGAACTTAATGACAATAAAGACATGAATATCTCAAAAGACATGAATATCTCAGAAGACATGGATATCTCGGAAGACATAGACATCTTAGAAGACAATCAAGACATGGTCATCGAACGAGACTTGCTCATGCCAGACGTGTACTATGAGATGGCAAAGCGAGTGCCGTCCGCTCTGCTGCCGAATATGACCGTCTTGAACGTTAGTCGCTTGTCCCAGGTGATTTATATGGAGCATAAATTAATTATGTGTAATCTAGTAATAATAAATATTGTAGAATAATATTATTGGGAAATTTTTAAAAGACGCAATATTACGCTTTCACAAATTTAGATACCATATTGAGACCAAAATTTGATAATGGAAATAAATTCTTCACTGGTATGATGCCTAGTATGCACCTGCAGATTCATGAACGCGATTCATGAAGTTTTTATGGTCGAAGGTTTTAGAATATTTCAGGACATGGCTATGTGTGTTTCGTGCCTTTATGTTTGTGTGTTTTTGTTTTAGAAGCTAGCGTCAGAAACATTAGTATATAAGGGGTTATCCTAATACAATGCCAATCGTATATCAATACCGATCAGTACTTATTATTGGATAACGTCTTTAATTCAAATTTAATTTGTGGACTCGTGAGGCATCAGAAAACGGACGCAGATTAAAAAAGTCCGACTATAATTTAGCTTTTGAATTATTTAAATTTAAAACTCACTTCAAAATTTGAATTTCTATTAGATTTCAGATTCGTCGTTATTCGATAACAACAATTTGATTGATAGAGACATTCTCAAATCTTAGGTAACGTCCCGAATGACGTCAAGATTGCCTCGTGTTCACAAAATCCAAAATTCATCACAAAAATAATGAAATCTTCGCTATGGGGATGAATTCAATATAATATGATACGTATATTGTAATCCACTCATTAGCAAGTGTCAGTTCGCGCCTTCATTTTACCTTTTTGAATAAAGTTACCACTTTCTTTTTGGGGGAGAGGGAGGGGCTTCATTGAATGACCATCGTGTCCGCAAAATTTGCGAAGTCATTATTGGATTAGGTTTTAAATTAAGCCGTTGAGGATCCCATAATGAGGATCTCTTTATTCATGAGGAACTTTAATAAGTGAGGTAGATAAGTATACGAAGCATGGTGAAAAAATTTAGAATTACTTTCTGGGATATTTTAAGTGAAAGGAAGCGATCATTATTTCCACGTGTGCTTATAGTATCAACTAATTCATGCATCTAATTTGCAACCGTTTGCAATAATTGTCGTACAAAAGCAATAATTTATTTTTAAAAAAATATTTTCGCGTTTAAAAACGAATTTCCTCTTCGCAAAAATAACCTTACAGGGATATTGTTGTAAATTCTTACTACTATTTTTTAAAGGTGGACGGTAAGCTACCATGGCTGCCGTGTGGTCTGCACGAGTACAACTATTCAATGGCGAGGCTGTGCGCAGCCAAGTCTCAAGTCCTCAAAGATCGGCCCTTGCGGTTCACCTTCTTTGGAGACTCGAGAGCTCGGCAGCTCATGGGGGATCTCTTTCTTGCCATGGAACATCCTTCGTGGATGCTCTACATCAAACCCAAGTACAATCCTGATGTATGAACATTTTATATATATTTTCTCACGCTGATCCCATAAATAGTGATTCACCAGATCGACCTCCCCTGCAACACTACCAGCGGCGAGAAGCAAGCAACAGCATCGTGCATCAGGTGGCCCAAATGAGGGCGGATGAACGATAATCAGAGGCGGCGATCCATCGTGGCCTGGGACTGCTATGTCCCAAACAAATACTAAGGATACTAAGGAGGAGGACAAAGCCGAGTGGTGCCCGGCTGATTGGTGGATATCCGGAGAGATCCAAGGCGTTCGATTCAGGGCTTATTGGTGCACAAAATTGGTGGTGCATGGCTGCGCTCCCGTATATATGAAGCAAAATGTATCGATTATATAACAGTAGCTTTACTGGGCGTCGAAGTCGACTGATCTAAATGCTAATCGAAGTATTTTTCGTTAGACGAGCTATTCTTTCCAGAGGACAGCTCTGGCGGGCTGTTGCGAAGTCTCTTGACTGAAATCTATTCACGGTCTCAGATCGAAAGAGTTTTTTTTCTGTATTATAAACTAGATCCCACGTTCATAAAAATGGGCATACGGCAAATGAGGGAGATAACCACCTATTCGGAGTTCTCTTGACTTTTAAAATAAGTTACACCTGTTCTCTTGCGTTTTAAAATAAGTTTTACCCCAGTTTACGAAGATGCACCCAAAATGTACTCTGTTTAGAGATACATAGATATTGACACAATCAAATCTCTTTTTTGACAAATAAAATAATCATTTTGAAAATTTTTGATTGATTATGGAAGAGAGATTAAAACAGTTGTGAGAAAATTATTGAATTGAAACGAAATATGTCATGTAGCGTCCCTCACCCATGCAAGTGTTAAGCGTTCTGGCATACTTCAAGCATACCAAGACTAAAGAGAAGTGTGAGAATATAAAACAACATATCACGCTTTCAGACGATTTTCGCTGGTTGTAAGGTTAATTTGCTGATAGTAATAAGCCTTTAAATCTGAGGTGAGTTTAATTTAACATTCTCTTCACCGAGTTTTTTTGGTAATTATCTTCCATGACATGAAAAAGATCACAAAAAAATATAACTCAGTGCTCACTGCAGTGAGTGACAGAGAGCGCATTTTCTCGTCGACGAAAACGTGGTCACGGACGGACAGACGGACAGACGGACGGACATGACGAGCACAATAGCGCCTTTTTCCATAAATGAGAAAATGCGCTAAAAAGAAATTGAAGTACTTCAAACGAATAAATAATTAATCCTTCTTGTCACTTGAGTAGCTCTAACGTGAAATGTTTCCTAATAATTAATCGTTGTTACTCTTCAAATTTTTGCCAAACTATGGGTAAATTATGGGAAATTAGTATCATAGATACCGGAACACATATTTTCTACCCGAGTTGAAGCAGAAATCCTCTTCAGAAAAAATACGCACTTCAGATTTCGTTTTGCATGGATCATTACGTGCATTACCACAAATTGACACTAAATTATGATTATTAACACGTTTTTCTTTACTCAGCTTCGCGTTTGTTTGTCTGTTTGTTTGTTGTTAACATTGACAACGAAAATTAGCCCACTTCTGATTGCTCTAGAGATCTGAAATTCGGCATGCAGGCTATTTTCGCCTAACAATTTCAGATATAATCATAAAAACTAGCAATTGGAGACCTAAATTAGCTTAATTGAGTAAAGTATATATATAGTATATATATATATAGTATGACGTGCGGGCGCTGACGTTATAGACGAGCAGGCGCTGACGCTGCGTATCAGCTCAAACAACAGATAACACTGATGATTTCAAGGCTAGGTCAAGGTTTTTGTAAAATACTTGCTCTATCTTGGTCATTCATCGCATTTCTCAACAGGCTAGCGTTTTAAAAATCCCACAGTGATTCGGATTCTTCCACAGAAAGCTTAATTATTTGTGCCCCCACTAGGAAAACTTATTCGTATCCTTTAAGGACAAGCTTCTTCGTATCCCCATGCAATATACTACTAATATTTATTCGTAATAACTAAAATAAACTTATTTGCGTCTCGCAGGACAAGCTGGTGAAGAGTAACGGGCAGCCACTGCTGGACTCTCCTCATCCGTTCAGTGACAGCCTCTCCTCCTGGCTTAACTCCATCCTGATGAGTTATCGACCTAGTTCATGCATCACAAGATAGGTCGCACCACTGACTTGCTTGTTGCTGATCTTTGGGTTTAGTTCCATATATATCGACCACTCCAGGGCTGCTCCATCTTCACAGCGAGAAAATCGTGAAATTTGTTAACCCAAAAAATTTTTTTTTTGCCTGGTGGTGTATTAAGTCCGTTACATATTCTATTTACGCAATAATGCTATCTTACAACTTCATTGCAACTTTCGCCTGGAATGGAGGGTGCATATAATCATTAAAATAATTTATATAATCATTAAAAAAATCATGATAATATGAACAAAGTTTCGGAAAAGAAAACAAAAGAAGTGCAGCTCTACTTCAGAAGAAAGATGATGTTGAGATGACATTAAAGACTGTCGCAAAAGCGAAACCTTTTCTCATTTAGGAGAAATATTCCAAGAAGATTGTATATATGTTCCTGTTCAGCGGCCTAATGATGACGAGATACAAGTTGAATTGAAACCTGAAGACTTTGCTGTTGATTTCATTGTGGTTATTGAATACAATGGACAGAAATACGCTGGCAAAATTGTCAGCTAATCTGAAGAAGGACTTTCAGCCGAATGCGCTGGCCATAAAAATCGGATTGCCTAACGAGACGCAGTTTGGAAGAAGATAAATTCTCCAAAAATCGATTGAAAAGGGAACCAGTTTCATGTGCCAGAATTAAACAACTATGCGTGATGTGAAATAACTTTTCTCTGCAATATACAATACACTGTTATTCACGAAATTAAGTTTGTTACATTTATTTTAATTTCCTAGCATTTGATGTAAATTTTGTAAATGAAATCGAAAAATTAAGAATCTGATATATCTGAGGGTAATTTTATTCCGTCTAATTTCAACCTTATCACTATTAAACATATGCTTCTTATGTTTAAATGTATGGCACTAAGTTTCCCCTATTAGTTTAATTTGGCCCAAACATCAAAAACAAATCGTGATAATATTTAAAAGTGATAGAGAGGTCTCAATATGTGTTTGAATGAATAAAATTGATTTACACATTAGATCACATTGAAAACTTACGTAATCTATGTCATAAAACATTGAGCTGACAAAACCATGAAAAATGCAGCAACCCACTCTTAGGCAGGTTACCTGGATATTTCCAAAATTTCCTACGTAATCACCATAGCCCTAGTTTGTATGTGAGTTACCTCGAAATTTGGAAATTATGTTCAGTGGAAATGCATGGCTTTCAAAAAAAAAAAAAAAACACCAAAGACCCCAGTTGGAATGTGGGGGCTACGTTATCATTGTCAATCATCAATCATCTGGACATCATTCCTTACATAGCATTATTACAATGAGAAAATCATGTCTTAGAATTATGTTGAATTTAAAATGCGTCGTAAAAATAACAGCAAAACCTTATGCAATCGACACCAAAAATTCACGTCTAATAGCCGTCATGCAAGGTTTCTTAAGTTAAAGTGACATCTACTGTATTTACAATACAGCTACAAAATATCATAGTTTTAAATATAATAAAATTGTTAAATTCGCTTGTAATATGTTATTGAAGTTTCAAACTCTAATATTAAAATCACCATACATTTGTACGGCAGCAACATTTATTCACTATATGTATTGCACATATGTTTTATTTATGTGAAATTGAAAATATCAAATTTTACATTAAAACTTTAACAAATACTTCTTAGTGGTAAAAGTTTACAAACAAGCTGATGGGTCCATTTATGTAGTTTCAATTTCAAGGATCTTATATAGGCGTTGCATATATTTAAACGAAATTCTCGTTCAAATCCTATTACTTACTTGTAATAGGCCTAGACGCCGCTAATCCGCCGAGTCAATGGTTCTCGACACAGTAGCTTATTCACATTATACTTACTTCTCCGATAAAAATTCCTTTCATCGACTACATGAAGCAATTTATACTTCAATAAATCCAACTTAGTACCGTTTACTGCAATGAAAATTAACCTCGCTTTAGTGCAGAATTACAGCATCAAGGCCCTGCATGAGAGTATTGTCAGCCGTTGCAAATCGCATATCCTAACGCTATAAGATTGAGCAATCAAAGGTTTTAGTTTTCACATGTTCAATAACATTCATCATTGCTAGGTTGGATTTCTTCGTGAATTTCTGACTGATGATGTAAATTTGAACGTTCCATTTGCAACGATGAATGCTTATAAAATTCGACAATTTCAATTAGGAAAATTTTTGTAAATATTTGAAATAGAGAGCAATTAGACGAATGAGTCATTTGAATAACTGAATTCTTAGCATTACACACAAAAGGCCAACGTCGATGTAGAGGAAGTCGTAGAAAAAGCCCTAACCGTGGCAAAGCCTGCACCAGGAAACTTTGTCTAAATATTGACGAGGAAATTTTGAGGACTAAATTAGTAGTTTCTTGGGCCTTTCGAGTGGTAGCACGGCAAGTTCATCGCCATCCTCATCCATGATGGCAATTTCGCTGTTCAGATTTCACTGAAATACCGATGAACTTCTATTATGTTCTGCAACATAATATATATTGAACGGATCGGTTTCAACGTTTCTAATATGGTGACATAATTCCGTGTTAGAAATTAGAATCAGCCAACGTTCCAGCAAAATCGTCATCAGCGCTCAAGGGAGAATATATTGTAAGAAAACATGAGACGCGGCGAGTGCGCAGCAGTGCCTCACCATATGAACTTAATGACAATCAAGACATGGATATCTTAGAAGACATGAATATCTCAGAAGACATAGACATCTCAGAAGACATGGGCATCGAACATGACTTGCTCATGCCAGACGTGTACCATGAGATGGCTAGGCGAGTGCCGTCCGCTCTGCTGCCGAACATGACCGTCTTGAACGTTAGTCGCTTGTCCCAGGTGATGTAAATGGATCATAAATTAATTATGTTTAATCTAGTAATAATAAATATTACCACATAATATTTTAAGTAAATTAATAAAAAACAAAATATTACGTTTTCAATAATTCGGATACCATCTTGAGACCAAAATTTGATTATGGAAATAAATTCTTCACTGGTATGATGCCTGATATTTGAACGCAATTCACGAAATTTTTATGCTCGAAGTTTTTAAAATATTTTAGGACATGGCTCTGTATGTTTCATGCCGTTATGTTTGTGCGTTTGTGTTCTAGAAGCTAGCGTAGGAAACATTGGTATATAAAGGAAAAATTAGCATCTAATACAATGCCAATCGTATATTAATATCGATCAGTACTTATTAGAGGATAAAGTCCTTAATTCAAATTTAATTTGTGGACCCATGAGACATCAGAAAACGTGAGTTATTATAAAAGGCATGGAAAAATTGAGAAAGTGTGAATATAATTTAACGTTTGAAACTATTTGAATTTAGGATTCATTTGAAAATTTGAATTTCAATTAGATTTCACATTCGTGGTTATTCGATAAAAACTATTTGATAAAGGTCTCTAATCTCACGTAACGTCCCGAATGACGTCAAGATTGCTTCGTCTTCACAAAATCCAAAATGCATCACAAAAATACAAAATGTTTGCTATGGAAATAAATTCAATATAATATAATAAGTATATTGCAATTCAGTCATTAGCGAAATCTCAGTTCGCGCCTTAATTTTATCTTTTGAGGAAAGATACCAGCATGTTCTTTTTGAGGGAGAGGGGGGTTGGAAGGCTTCATCGAAAGACCATCGTGTCGGCAAAAATTGTGAAGTCATTATTGTTTTAGGTTTAAAATTAAGCCGTTGAGGATCCCATAATGAGGATCTCTTTATTTTTGAGGAACTTTAATAAGTGAGATTTATAAGTATGCGAAGCATGGCAAAAAATTTAGAATTACTTTCTGGGACATTTTAAGTGAAAGGAAGCGATCATTATTTCCACGTGTGCTTATATGTATTATCAACTATTTCATGTATCTAATTTGCAACCATTTGCAAAAATATTCCTACAAAAGAAACAATTTTTTTTCTCGATATTTTCGCGTTAAAACGAATTTTCCTTTTCGCAAAAATAACCTAACGTAGATATTTCTGTAAATTCTTACTACGATTTCAAACAGGTGGACGGTAAGCTACCATGGCTGCCGTGTGGTCTGCACGAGTACAACTATTCAATGGCGCGGCTGTGCGCAGCCAAGTCTCAAGTCCTCAAAGATCGGCCCTTGCGGTTCACCTTCTTTGGAGACTCGAGAGCTCGGCAGCTCATGGGGGATCTCTTTCTTGCCATGGAACATCCTTCGTGGATGCTCTACATCAAACCCAAGTACAATCCTGATGTATGAACATTTTATATATATTTTCTCACGCTGATCCCATAAATAGTGATTCGTGGGGTAGCGTATAAATCCAACTGATTGATACACAAAATTTGCTGATTATCATACAATATAGGCTAATTGATACACAATCCTCGAAAGGATTTTTTTTGTCCATGTTATTGATATGAACCATGTGATGGAGAGAAAATTTAGGCTTGGTGTTTAAGCACAATTTAGGCATGAAATGTTGAGAGGTACACTTGTGATTCAACTCGAGATTAATTTACGGTCTCACAACCTACTACCAAAGTATGTAACATAATTATTCGGAAGAGCTCCAACAAGGTTTTCAATTGTACACTTAATGCCGCCTGTCGAATTTTTAGGGCATTTAATGAAAGTAGCATTTAATAAAATAGCATTATCTAAAAGAACGATAAACAGCCTGATGACATTAAACCTTGTGTAGCCTAAAACGAGCAAAAATATGACACTAATGAACTAGCAACTCGTACTCAATAAATTATATCCATTTTGAAGAATGTTTTTGGCAATACGCCATATAAAAATATGTCCTGATGCCGAATAAGTCATTATTCTCTCCACTATATCGTGCAACGCCGATTAAAATCCACTAATTAAATCATGTATTTTTGAGCAGAAACCAATAGCGATGACCGCGAACATGTTCCGCATCATGGTGGACTACTATGAGAGCAACCGAAACCTAACTTGGACCGACCGCTTAGCTAGAGCAGAATTTAACTTCACGACTGCAGAACTTCGACATCTTGATGACGCCAAATATTATCTGGATAAGCGATATCCTACTCCTGGTGCGACGGAAGAAGTGTCTCGAGAGAACAAGAAAATTTCAAATCGGAGTAGAAAAGATCAGTTGTTGTCACCTTCAAAACCAAAAGAAAGCCCAAACAAGTCCACTGGTGAACGAATAGTACAACAAAGCGAGACTGTTCCCAAGAATCTAAGCGATTCTATAGAGGACGCAAAATTTAATCCTAAGTCTGAAATTAGTGATGTAGTACACGCAGGGCTCATCAGGCTCAAGTTTCATGTAGCCGTCTACCCGCATACGCAGGAGATGGAGCCTTCGTTGCCGACTCTGCTGGAGACCTTTCGAAAATACGAGTCAATGCACCCTTTGGATCTACCATCCATGATTATAATAAGTGAGTAATGTATTCAGCCTCTGATGTTAATCGATTTTTATGTTGAAGATAATCGAATAAAATAAAATTAGCCTGCATTAATGTCACGAGTTTTAATACAATATTTCTGAAAAATGTCATTAACAAATATACAAGAAATTTACTTCATTTTAGCAGTTATGCATGTTCATTATTGTGACTGCATAACTTTAACTTGCTTCGTGTAAAAAATGTTTTAATATTCATAAAACTGAAAGAAGCTCGGATGTTAGGATCTGCTTCATTTAGCTTTCGATGGTGAACATTACATTTTAACCAAATAAATTCTACCAATCAACCTTCTTGGGTACTTTAGTGACCTTTAAGTTTTAATTTCGGATAATTATACGATAAAAATTATACTACGTGATAGTGGAGCCGACACGCTTTCATTTGAAAGTTTAGATCATCTGTTAAAACGAACTATAAACAAATATATATCAGAACCATACACATTCTTCCTAAAATTGGATTAATTAATTTTGAATCTAATTCAATCTATGCTCAGGTCAGCAGAAATATTCACGATTTCATAAATTTTATGTTTTAATTTTATTGATTACGGTGTGAATTCTATAACGTTCGCCTATCCAACGCGTTTATTGAGCTCACTCGAATGAAATTTTGGCATTCAAAATCATTTTGGAATTAAAGATCTGTAATTATTTTACTAGGCTGTGGCATGTGGGAGATCCAGCTAAGCAAGAGGGAGATGTTGGTTGGCATCGACAACGGTCTGCGGCAGTTCGAACAAGCTCGTCCAGAGCTGTTCAGGCATCTACGCCGCTGGGCGTCGCACGGTGTCACCATCGTCTGGATGCTACTTGATCCAGTCAGAGTGAGTTGATGCTCTGTGATCTAAGGCAACGTTCTTCAGCTTTCAGTTCAACATTTTTCGAGCATTTCCAACCCCAAAAAGCAAAAAAACATACGTATTTCTGAAGCATTATCTTTTGATTATGTAACAATAGCCATACCGCGCGACAAAGTTGACTGATTTAAATTTTAATCGAAGTATTTATCGTTAAACGAGCTATTCTTTACAGAGGACAGCTCTGGCGGGTTGTTGCGAAGTCTCTTGACTGAAATCTATTCACGGTCTCAGATCGAAAGAATTTTTTTTGTATTCTAAACTTGATCCCATGTTCATAAAAATTTATATATTGCAAATGAGGGAGATCACCGCCTTTTCCGAGTTCTCTTGAGCTTTAAAATAAGTTTTACCCCAGTTTACTACGATGCACTCCAAATGAACTCTGTTTAGAGATAGAAGATATTGATACTAAGAAATATCTATTGTTGCCAAATAAGATCATCATTTGGGAAAATGTTGATTGATTATACAAATTAAAACAATTGTGAGGAAATTATATAATTGAGACGAAAAATGTCATGCAGCTTCCCTAACCCAAGTTTTAAGCGTTCTGGCATCCTTCGAGCAGAGCATGGCTAAAAAGAAGTGAGATTATAATATTAATACATGTCACGATTTCGGGCGAAGTTCGAGGGTTGTAAGGTTAATTTGTTGATAGTAATAAGCTTATAAATCCAAGGTGAATTATATTTAACCTAATCTTCACCAAGTTTTATGGTAATTATCTTTTATAACAAGAAAATGATCACAATGAACAATTAAAAACTTTTTGCGGCTTGAGTAACTCCTCCGTAAAATGTTTCCAAATAATTAATCGTTGTTACGCTTAACCTATTTGCCAAAATAGGGGTAAATTATGGGAATTTGTTATTATTGATATACCGGAACACATCTTTTCTGCCCAAGAACGTGTTTTCCCTTTGCTGGCAAAACACACTCTTCTGATTACGTTTTATATGGAGGAGTACTAACATCACCATAAATTGATACTTACTTATAATTAATTCTAATCTCAGCTCAAACAACAAATAACACATGATTTTAAGGCTAGATCGAGGTTTTTGTAGAATACTTGCTCTGTCGTGGTCATTTATCACATTTCTCAGCAGGCCAGGGTTTTAAAAATCCCACAGTGAATTTCGGATTCCTTTACAGAAAGCTTATATGTGCCCCCACTAGGGTTACTTATTCGTATCCTTTAAGAACAAGCTTCTCCGTATCCCCATGTAATATTTACATGGGGATACAATTAAAATAAACTTATTCGTTTCCCGCAGGACAAGCTGGTGAAGAGTAACGGGCAGCCGCTGGTAGACTCTCCTCACCCGTTCAGTGACAGTCTCTACTCGTGGCTTAACTCCATCCTGGCGCTCGCCCTGCTGCCGGTCATACGCGAAGGTGCATTCAAAGGACCATTCGTGAATTATATATGTATAAATTATTGTCCATTACACGTAATTAATTTATTTGACCTATCTGTATCTTTTTCAAAATATACACTCCTACTTTCCATAAGAATTTGAATCTATATCATACTATCAAGTGCCACAAAATTTCTTTGTTCGTTGAACACTTATGCCGTGTGCAATACTTTGATGCGTGGGAATTTTGCATTCGCATATGAATTTTTCTCTGGATCAACTCCTAGAAAGCGCGAAAAAGCCTAAACATTTTTTAATAAAGTTGCGTGTGCGTTGAAAAACGAACAATAAGGAACCTCTCGCTCCGTCGTGTTTCACTAAAAAGTTATATGAAAAGTTATATGAAGGCACTGATTGAGTTAGTTAATGAGATGAACGATGAGGTAAAATTTTCATGTATCGAACCTGATCCGACTCTCGCTACGCTTGTGTTTCGCTTAGAAGCATTGAAAAGGCATTGATGATATTGATTGATGAGTTAAACATTGAGTCAAATTTCTACAATACATCCACAAATTGCAGGCACCCTGATGATGTGGGATACCGGGTTTCCCGTGAGCGTTCGAGCTAACGACGACTGTGCCAAGCTGATGCGCTACTCCACCGCGACGGATGCCTTCTCTTCCACCCCGGCCTGGCGCTGCTACGACTTTCTCCACGCTGGTCATCAGAGCTACCAAGTCTACGCACAGATGGTCCTTAACTACGCCTGTAATGATGTTATGGCAGAGCAATTAGCGGCGCAAACCGACCACTTATGCTGCTCTTAACTTCAACGGAAAAAATCAATGAACTTTTTAATGGGATTTTAAATGATAAATTTGCTTTCATGTGTTAAATATTTCAATTATGATAGTATATTTCGAACTGTATATTTATTCTACTTCTATTTATTTTAGGCAGCTTGTATTTTTGTTTGCATGTTTTGTTTGACAATAAAGGAGCGAGTCCTACGTTGCCTAACTGGGCATTCGACGGCGAGTAAATTCGGTACTCTCAACTGGGGTAAGACTGGCCCTTGAATGCACAGTGAATCGTAAATTATGCAAACTAAATTTTCGCCTATAAATGCTAAGGTAATCAGGCTACTTGCCTGCTTTGTGGCAAGTACGATATATATTAAACCAAACAAATTGAAACACTAACCAAATGCGTTACATCGGAATGTTGCGCGGTAAACATGAACGCCGGTGAACGACATGGCGAGGTCTCTACTTGAAATGTGTTCCTTTACAGGCTAAGAGTAGCATTGGCCTAAAGTTAGAAAATGTTTTTTTTTTGTGCTGTAGTGTTATAATGTGACGAGTTATCGACCTAGTTCATGCATCACAAGATAGGTCGCACCACTGACTTGCTTGTTGCTGATCTTTGGGTTTAGTTCCATATATATCGACCACACCAGTGCTGCTCCATATTCACAATGAGAAAATCGTGAAATTTGTTAACCCCAAATTTTTGGTTTTGCCTGATGGTGTATTAACTCCGTTACATATTTTATTTACGCAATAATGCTTCTTACATCATTAAAAAAATCATGATTATAGGAACAAAGTTTCGGAAAGGAAAACAAAAAAATGCAGCTCTTCTTCAGAAGAAAGATGATGTTGAGATGACATTAAAGACTGTCGCAAAAGCGAAACCTTTTCTCATTTAGGAGAAATATTTCAAGAAGATTGTATATATGTTCCTGTTCACCAGCCTAATGATGACGAGATTAAAGTTGAATTGAAACTTGAACACTTTGCTGTTGATATCTTTGTGGTTATTGAATATAATGGACAGAAATACGCTGGCAAAATTGTCAGCTAATTTGAAGAAGGACTTTCAGCCGAATGCGCTGGCCATAAAAATAGGATTGCCTAACGAGACGCAGTTTGGAAGAAGATAAATTCTCCAAAAATCGATTGAAAAGGGAACCAGTTTCATGTGCCAGAATTAAACAACTATGCGTGATGTGAAATAATTTTTCTCTACAATTTACAATACACTGTTATTCACGAAATTGAATTTGTTACATTTATTTCAATTTCCTATAGCATTTGATATAAGTTTTTGAAATAAAATCGAAAAACAAGAATCTGATATATCTGAGGGTAATTTTATCTCGTCTAATTTCAACCTTATCACTATTAAACATATGCTTCTTATGTTTAAATGTATGGCACTAAGTTTCCCCTATTAGTTTTGGCCCAAACAGCAAAAACAAATCGTGATAATATTTAAAAGTGATTGAGAGGTCTCAATATGTGTTTGATTGAATGAATAAAGATTGATTTACACATTAGATCACATTGAAAACTTACATAATCTATGGCATAAAACATTGAGCTGACAAAACCATGAAAAAAGCAGCAACCTACTGTCAGTCAGGCAAATTTCCAAAATTTCCCACGTCATCACCATAACCCTAGTTTGTATGTGAGTTACCTGAAAATTTGGAAATCACGCTCAGTGGAAATGGCTTCCAAAAAAAACCACCAAAGACCCCAGTTGGAATGTGGGGGCTACGTTATCATTTTCAATCATCAATCATGCATCTGGACATAATTCCTTACACAGCATCACCCCACGCCATGCCCAAAAATTTGAATATGCGCCTTTAGATTTTAGATGAAAGTTTTGACTTGGAGAGCTAAATTAATGCTCTTTCCGCATTTCTGCAAAAAAGTAGCCTTATTTATTCAATTATTTAATATAACTTTATTAAGTTTTAGTTAGATAGTCACCGACTTTACATACGAATTTTAATTATATTGATTTTTTCGAATTATTGACCGCATTGAATAGATTACTAAACTGTGACTAGCTTTTCAGTATGCAATTTTTGGAAACCCCGTAAGAGAACATTTAACTTATTGTTCATTCTCCTCGAAGTGGCGTGAGAAATTCAAATTACTTAATTTTTCTCTCTCTGCTCGCGAAAAGCTTAAATTTGGGTCAATTTACCCGAGCTGACGTCGAAAAATGGAATGTCTAGGGGCAAAGTCTAAGTCTTAAGTCTAAGTCAAAGTCTAAATGGAAAGTCTCAGACAAAGTCTAAGAGCAACGAAAACTTTTCTAAAGTAGTAGTATGAGTTAAGTAAGAGTAGTGCGCTTAAACATGACCATGCAATGTGACCATCAATATGGTAGGAAAAATATTTAATATGTCAATATCAACTCAAAACTGATATTGATTGAAAAAATGTATGATTAATTACTCCAATCAATCAAGTTTCATTAAGAGTACGATCTGAATTTAAATGATAAATTTAACGAGGTCAAAGTGTCTTTCATTGCACGGTATTAATACTATCCTAGAGATTAATAATAACCAACCTACGTCACTAATAATGACATTACAACACAAGGGTTCCCGCGCAAGACCGAGTGAATTGATTGATATTGGTAATCGTAACTGATTTGACTTCTATTTCCATGATAATATTATTAAACAATTGAAATGAATCTGCACCCATATTCGAGATGTGCATGTAATTCTATTTTCTATATATCAATATAACATTTGATTTATATATTATATATAACAAGTAACAAATTGATATAATTTTAATTTTTGAATTAAACAATATTACAATGAGATCGAACGTCTTGTTTTAGAATTATGTTGAATTTAAAATACGCTGTAAAAATACCAGCAAAACCTTATTCTATCGACACCAAAAATTCACGTCTAGTAGCCATCAAGATTTCTTAAATTTAAGTGACATCTATTTACAATACAGCTACAAAATATCATAGTATAAAATATAATAAAATTGTTAAATTCGCATTTAATATCTTATTGAAGTTTCAAACTCTAATATTAAAATCACCATACATTTGTACGGCAGCAACATTTATTCAGTATATATGTTGCATATATATTTTATTTATGTGAAATTGAAAATATTAAATTTCACATATATTAAATTTCATTAAAAACTTTGAAAAATACTTCTCAGTGGTAAAAGTTTACAAGCATGCTGATGGCTCCACTTATGTCGTTTCAATTTCAAGGATCTCATAAGCGTTGCATTTTTTAAACGAAATCCTCGGTTCTAACAAATCCTGTTGTACTTACATACTTGAAATTGTTACTCGATAGGTTTTTAGTTACTTCGTTCGTTTAACTGGTTATTTACATCTAATCTCTTCCGTTAAAATTGGGGTGTTCTCTTGAGTGTACTCGTATTCCTAAAGTTATGAATTTATGATGGAGCGCGTCTCCATAACATTTTCAATGATAATTGTGTTGTTGCTTGGCGTTCTCTTGGCTTTTAAATGCTTAGCTAATTTGCGAGCTATACAAAGAAATTATACATATTCACTTATTACTTTAAAAATGTATAAAAGTAGTACCCTTCTTTTACTTTGAGAATCGTTATAATGTAATTATGTTCAAAATAAGTAACATGTAGGTATACCTGTCACAATGATTAGACCATATCGGGATATAACATTTAGTTTTCAGATGTTATTGGTTGCACTTGAGCAATATCGTACATGAATGTTCCTTCAAAATGACAATGAGCAATTTCCGTATCAAGTTACCTATCATATGATGTCCTTCTATAAAACTTTGCGTTTAGTTTAGTCACCTGTCAGCAAGTATTTCTTAATAGCCACCATGTCTTCTCAGCAATTTCAATTCGTAATTAAATGCGTGCTTTCGACCCACTTTTTATAAGCACACCTTGTAGATCATCATGAGCCTTTTCTTGAAATATTACAGACTATATAATAATGGCATTAAATTATTACAGACTACGGAATTACATAAAATTATTTGAGACTCTAATAATAAGTCTAACATGAGCCTTAAAATATAAGTACGACAATAATAAAAGAATCGTCAGCTACAGGTAGTAAGCGACCTTCATGCCTGTAACAAATTAAACCATACGTATTCAGATAACAACAGACTATCATGTTTTTATTAAGTTCTTTAAAGCTTTAACAGATTCATAGCAGAGAATATCTTCTCAATTAATCCCAAGAACAATGGATGATTTCTTTAGAATGCATACGACAGAACAAACTTATAAACTTTTTCTTAAAAACAAATAACAGAATTAACTTTTAGTTAACCCTTTCATTTATATACTGGTATGATATAAATTTCGGCAAAGAATTTCCTACTTACGTTGAAAACGGCTCTAGCCTGTGGGTTCCAGCTCATTTGTAATGACCTTGTCATTTAATACTGCAACGGACGGATAAAACTGAAGCTCAGTGAAAAAATAAACTAAAAGAGAGCGAACAACTTTTTAAAGTAACGCCATGGAAAGCGAGTGAGAAGGCTCTTATCACTGCTCATCTCTGTCCTGCTTGATCCCCTTCACTGCTTGGCAGTTCGTGCGGGCTCTTCTTCCTGCTCATCTCTGTCCTGCTTGATCCCCTTCACTGCTTGACAGTTCGTGCTGGCTCTTCTTCCTGCTCATCTTTGTCCTGCTTAATCACCGCGACCAGAGTGGCGAGCAGAGCGTGTGTTTTGCTACTCTGCGACCGAAGCTCCTCGACCTGAGCGCTCAACTCTGCAACGCTCTGGTTCAAACGTTCCACTTCGCCCATCTGTTGCGTGTAAAAAATCACAAGAATTTTTAAAGTGTATGATTTAAACGAGATTTTTTCTAAAAGTATTGCATTAGAATTGAGACAAATATTTTTTTTCTCTTACCACTAGATTATAAATCATTTGAGTAAAAAACTTCACCAAAGACGCGATAAATGCGGTTTGCAGCGTTTTAGTGATTAGAGAAAAATACTGCAAATTATTTTTACAAATTGTCTATAAAATATCGACACTTAATGTTTACACAACATAAAAGCGGAACCAGGCAATGCAGAAATTACGCTATACATTAAAAGATATGTCATGGAAAAGATATACACATGAAATGCAAACAAAAAGCGTTAATCAACATTGATTCATTAGTTAATCATGACTTGCAAGAGAAAAAGCGGGACATGTAGAATAGGCAGAAAACTAAAAAGCATATTGAGGTTAAAAAATTGTATGACTTCCTTGAACTAGAAACAACACTGCATTCTTCAGTAAACGGAATTAAAAGTGAAATTAAATAGAATAATTTGAGAATAAGATTACCGGAACAGGTATATATGTGAAAAGTTATTATTTTGTACCAATATTTACAAGATAAATAGATAAATTAATTTCAAATATTGCAAACAGACCATCCTCTGGACACGTCCATGAAGAACTCGAGTAACAAATTTTCGTTAGCTTGTTGTTTTGTTTGTTAGCTTGTAAGAAAACATCTTTAAAAAATAAGACTAATCTGATAAACAGTATTAATAAAAATGGCAAAATAGAATAGAGATGATTTTAATTCAGAACAACTTCTTAATTTATAGTCAAATTTACCGAGAAGTGTTTTCTATTCCCAACAAAACCACATTTTTAGCATTGGAATTTAGGATATTTAATCAACAACACTTTTGAATAGCATGCATCATCCAACATAGCATGCAGCAAGTCAAGAAAAAAAAGCTGGTACCAGACAATCAGGCATATATCAAATCGAATTTAAATTATGCCTGAACAAGTTCTCCAAGTTAATATATGCCTGGTAAAGTCAAATTAAGTTTTCCATCAGAAGAATGGAATTATACCCCAGTAGAGACTTCCTAGATTGTTAGTTTCATGTGATACACGATAATTCTATTTGAATATTTCAATGAATTGTTAGAGGCGCAAGAAAGAAAGCTTGTTCAGTGGCAATTCATCCGTGTCACTGAGGCAGATTCACTTACATTGAACTTCTGTTAGTCTTCTAAATAAATAACAAACGATTAAGGCACTTTTTGAATTAGTAAAAAAATTCAACTACAGGTATAAAATTTCAGGTCCATTCATTTTTACCAGCGAGTGGCAGCAAGCGAATAAATAGGCTTCCTCATATTGGCATTGAGGGCTACTGAAGAATGTACAATAGTAGCTTTATAATATAAAATAATACAAACTTTTGTAAGATGGATAACGTCACATTCAAGAGGACAGAATTATACCGAACAATTAACCTGATCATTCCTCACTGTGAATGTCTGCATTTAGAGGATAAATAATTAAACAATGAAGATAATTGAAGCACTCACATTAATATTTCGTTAATAAATGCGACGAAAACCAAGTATATTTATACCGTTGATTCAAATATGTGAACTTAATTTGTTATATAAAAAATTCTGAAAATGGACTTGTTATTTCATGCGATATGAGTATTACATGCAATCGTATCATCAAGCGAGCTAAAAGAATCCTGAATTAATTCCTTCTTTTTCTCACACAGTGTTTACCGTTTATTGCAAACAGTACTTGGTCATTTCATTGTAAGAAATTAAGCACTCGATCTGCATTAACGCAATCTTCTATGAATTGAAGTGTGTTTGTAATTGGAATTGTGAATACATACGCGCTGAATTCCTTGATATTGAACTTGTCTCTCACCTCATGGACCAGAAGCTTTTCCGTGATGCGAGGGTCCACTCTGTAGCCCTAAGCAAATAATCATCACAAAATTTATATTGAATCTTTTTTATTTTGTCCAAAATTTGCCAGCGCTGCCACCCATGCATGGCGCTCATTATGAAAGCAGGATAATGGTCGTGGTATAGTGGGTAAAGGATTTAACACACTTCCACTGTGTGAAAGGAAGTGTGTGAAATAATTCACACACAAGGATGAGAAGGATTTCAGGTGATGAGAATGTTTTTATGATGGGGATGTGTTCTAAATTTTTTGTACCTTCTGCAAGTAGACCTACTAGTATGAAGACAAGGTTCTTGAAATTACAAGCGTTGGGAGATGGTCACAAATCCGAACTTATCCTTTTTACTTTGCCTTATTGGAGATATAAATGTTAAGATGAAACATTTCAGAATACAAAATTCTTGCAATACCAAGGGATAATTATAATTGGGCCAATAGAATACCTAAACATCTTTGAGTCGATTTATTCTTTTATTGGCTATAATATTACAATTATTTGCAAAATTTCAAAATAAGCTTGATATTCCAATCACCAAAATTTTCATACGAATAAGGCTCAGGATATTAATCTGATTTATTTGATTTCACCAATCAACTCGAAAATAATAAGATTGAGAGATGATGAAACCTTGGTGCACGGCTGGTGCAAAGTGCGTTACAAACAGGCAACGCATGCACCATCGGTTATCGTCTATAGTGCAAGGGTTGGCGCTGACATTTCAAGAGATCTGTTTTAAGCAGAAATTGAGATATGAAGCCAATGTTCGTGATGATAATGAACCGTTATATATGGTCCGGTGTAATCTTCAGGGTTGGGCTAGTTGCCAACCCCTTATTGTGTGCATGACGATCACATCACTGGAACTTAAACTAGTGATATTAATGCATCGCAGTTTTCTAATACCGAAGTAATTGATGTAAAACTATATTGTTGTGCTGTACAAGCCGTTAATGTGAGCGAGCAAAACTGACATAGGAAGTTACTAACAAGATTTTTTAGATTATCAATATAGTCGTGAATGAGATCGGCACGAACCAATTAATACAAATCCAAGAGTTTTAGTTTATTAAACTCAGGTGACCTTTCAGTTTGCGGAAAAGTTACCTGCTTATTTAAGAAATGATTGAGAATGATTCCATACCATGAATGAATGATTTCCAACCATTAGTTAATAAGTAACGACATTAATCATGTGAATGTCATTCACGCATGTCAATTTATGCACGAATTATCTAATGATCACTTGTGTGAGTAAAATCACTTTAACAGTAGAATCTTCTCTCGGATAACACTCTTGCATGATTGCTATCAAGCGTCAGCGCAAAAATAAACTCGCAATTCAATAGTTTTTATCCGTATTGAAGTATTGACGTAATGACGAAACACAACATCTTGTGACTGACAGTTAGCAAATATCAACAAATACGAATTAAGCCAAATAATCAATTGAATCAATACAAGTTGTGACAAAATCATTTGTATTAGATGCGATGAAATGTAGCAAAATTGATGTCATGACCACATACGGAAGTGCAAGTAAAATTCGTTTTCAATGATTCGCCGGAACTGGATTGCCGGCTTCGAAAATGCAGCCTCAAGGTTGACTGGATATTGAGCATAGGAGAGTTTTCGTCGAGTTTCAAAAGTTCATCACAAGTAAAATTTCAATAATTTTAAAATTTCATACAGATAAAATACAATTTTTATACATTATCCACAAATCCCCAGACGATAAAACCATTTATATATGTCAGAGTAACCACCCTACACGAAGCAAATATCGTAAGACCACAAATGGACAATGGTACAGAACTTGTAATTATTTTAATGCAAATATAATGAATTCAACAAACAAATAAATCTATCATGTAATCCTCACCTCATCAGTCGGCGACAGGAACTGGAAGGACTGAAGGATCTTGAAGTCACCGAAGAGGCGCGAGAAAGGCGAGTGTCGTGCGTTAGGATGCACGATCTTGTAGGGACACGTGCTCCAGCGACGCACGAATGACGGCATGATCATCTCCACGTCTATCACGAGCTAGAATTAATAGGATAATAACATAATAGAGAGGTATGTTGTTAATAAATAATAACATTCCTCTCTATTAATAGAATTAATAGAGAGGTATGAGGGATGTGAAGACTGGGTGAATGAGGGAACTGAAGACTTTGGGTGAGTGTGGGAGGTGAAAACTATGAGGGAATATGGCATGTGATGACTATGGACACCAGAGATGCCATGAAGTTCTGGACGTTTCTGTCTTATAATAATATTCAATATACATATATCTGTCTAATAATATATATGTCCAATAATATTATATTCAAGTATTAGAAGGATGGCACAAAAAGGCTATTTGAGTGACGTGAAGGTATAGTAATTTTAGCAACATTGTGGAATGCGAGTGATGATACGAGGTGAACGAGGGACGAGGTCACTTGAGCGTATGGAAATAAAAATATTGAGTGAGTCATAATCAATATTTTTTCAGCATAGAGTGATATATAGGACTGGAGGTGCCACAGCAAAAGCCGAACCTGAGCCCAGTGACCCACCTGAGCCTAGTGACCCACCTGAGCCCATTGACCCACCTGAGCCTGCATGCCGAGCCTCTTGAGGACAGCCTGCTCCTGCACAGCCTTTATGTCGTCCACAGCGAGACCCACGAGTAGGTTCATGGTGATGATGCTCATCAGGATCAGGAACACCACGAACAGCAGCGTCGTCATATCATTGTACTGCTCAACCATCATTCAGGTCAAATATAATGAAAAATATAAATATATATAAATATAAATCTATTGGTATAATACAATTACAATTTAAATAAAGCCACGATATAACAAAAGCCGTTCCAATTAACAGGGAATTCAGGCATGCCAATTTAGGCCAAAATACTATTCTTCATATGCCAAATTAAAACCGATTAATTTTTGAACCAATTTTCAAACTTTCAATACTCTTAAGTGAAATGTCAAGAACTATATTTACGGAACTGCTGTAAAAAAGTACCCATCATATCACACGCTGGATTTCCATACACGAGGTTCGACAACTTTCGCAGTAGCATAAGTAATTGCATTGCGAAACTTTAAAATATTGCCCTTTTCACTATACAATCATATCTTTTAATGAAAATACCTTAAATGCAACACGAAAATTAAACATTCAACTAGTGACTCAACTCAAGTTTACTAGCAACACAATAATATAATATAATATTGATAATAATAATAATATAGAGGTTTCAGCGTTTATAAGGCCGTGCTAGGCCTGTCGCCGATTCTTAACATCGCTGAACATTCACAGCATTTTGCGGTCTCGAACTCGCAACTCACTGCTACAATTCTGCTGCTTAACCGCCCAGCCTCCTTGCCGATTCTGACCAGAAACTGGCGCACAGAGCTGGGATCGAACCCGCGCTTCTCTGCGCCAATCATGGTACTCTGAACTTTAACCACTGGGCCACCCCAGTGCAGCAGTCGTCAGTGCAGTTGCATATTGCGTCAACAATATATATAATATAATATAAGAATATAATAAACTTTACAACCCAAATTTACTATAGCAACACAACAATGATAATATATTGACAATATTTCATATTTGAAGCATGGCGATGGGTTTTTAAGCAAAGGTCAATGGGTACGTCACCGGCGTAGTGCCCTCGGGGCCGTAGAAGATGTCGCCGTACTCGAACTCCCCGATCATCATGACGGTCGTCTTAACCAGAGACGAGCCCGGCGTCCTGAACGCCTTCTGACTTTTGAGGACCTGCTCATAATATGCAGGCATGACTTTTGGGGACCTGCTCACAATACGCATGCATGACTTTTGAGGACCTGCTCATATGACGCAGGCATGACTTTTGAGGGCCTGCTCATAAGACGCAGGCATGACTTTTGGGGACCTGCTCATAATACGCAGGCATGACTTTTGGGGACCTGCTCATAAGACGCAGGCATGACTTTTGGGGACCTGCTCATAAGACGCAGGCATGACTTTTGGGGACCTGCTCATAAGACGCAGGCATGTATTTTGGGGACCTGCTCATAAGACGCAGGCATGACTTTTGGGGACCTGCTCATAAGACGCAGGCATGACTTTTGAGGGCCTGTTCACGGCCGCAAAAGGTGGACCTACACCACACTAAAATATATTTTGTGGATTTCTCTGGTGTTTCTCTTATTTTTTCTAACCCTTGTAGTTTCGTAATGTTTTTAAGAGAGACTTACAGTGTAGAAACTGAGAGCGAAGGCCACGACAAAGAGGAAAAATACGATGGAGAATTTGCTGAATGTGGCGAAAACATCCGTGAACATCACGACGTAGATGCCGAAGAAAGGAAATTTGCGAATGAAGAGTAAAAGGTTCATCCAAGCCAAGAAGATGGCAACGGTTCCTACTTGCCACTGCCATTCCTGCGACCGAAGACAGGTAAATAATAATATTGCATTGTAACACTATTATTACAGTTATACAAACAATTTGAATATAATTTAAATTAAATTTTTAATTTTTAATTATTATTTTCAATTTTTAAAATTATTTAATTACTTTTAATTTATTTTTTAATTTTAATTTAATTAAAATTAAAAATTTTATTTAAATTAAAATTTTTTAATTTTTAAAATTATTTACTATTATAACGTATTTTAAATTCAAAATAATAGCCTCAATTAGTAATTTTGTAACTACCTTCATTGGATTAACGCTTATTTTGCTTAATCTGAAATTTTTCGAAAATTATCGATGTCATTTAATGTTCACTCAAAGTAACGTTGAATGTTGGGTTAGCACCCGCATCGCAAACAACATTCAAATCGATGATTAGTATAGTATCTGAAAACAACATTTTAAATGTTTGATGCGATGCAAAGCGAAAGATATCAAGCAGGTTTCCACAATCTGAACATATACTGTATCAGAGCTTGTGTGACACTGACCGTTCTCTGATTCCACTGACCGTTCTGATGACACAGTCGTCAGTCGTGTCGTAGACCAGCACCACGGCGCACACGTAGCAAACCCATTCTAAGAAATTCTCCACGCCGATGTAATTAAGACGTCTCTGCAGGGACGTCAGATTAAAGTTTTTCAGATTAAAGTACGTCAGATTAAAGTACATCAGATTAAAGTAAAGAAGATTCAAGAACGTCAGATTAAAGTACGTCGGATTAAAGTACGTCATATTAAAGTACCTCAGATTAAAGTACATCAAGTTAAAGTAAGTAAGATTAAAGTACGTCAGATTAAAAAACATAAAATTAAAGTAAGTAAGATTTAAGTACGTGAGATTAAAATACGTCAGATTAATGTACATCAAATTAAAGTAAGTAAGATTAGAGTTCGTCAGATTAAAGTACATCAAATTAAATTAAGTAAGATTTAAGTACGTCAGATTAAGGTACTCAGATTAAAGTACATTATATCTGTTTTCATAACTTAAATAAGGAACAGTGCAGTCGAGGTGTAGCTTTGTGGGTTAGAACCTCTTATAGGGTCCAGCAAATCAAGTTATCTGCAGAGCATCAATCAGCTAGAGAATCAGTGTGGTGCGAACTTTCTCTCAAAGGCAAAGATAGCCTCCTCATAGGCGTCATATAATAGATCACCGAACAGTTCTTCTGATAACGATAAATTACTAAACAGTCGTCTACCGAGCATGACTTTCTGTAGGTCACACACTTTGATCGTTGGTGATTTTAATCATCTAGAGCAATACAGGACAAATAGATCCTCTCCAAGGGATGAGAATCACCCAGCATTCTTGTTCATGGAGTCTGTGAGAGTCCATGTAGTCCAGAACGTTACCAAGCCAACCCATTGTGGAAGTGAACAGACTACCAATATTCTAGACCTGGTGTTTACTAGTGAAGAATCAATGTTAGATGAGCTTCTTCACGAGGCTCCATTGGGCAAAAGCCATCACTGATAATTGTTTTTCAGTCTAAAGTGCTGTACAGGAAAGACACCTCGGAAGCGTGAGCATTTGAATTTTGCGAAAGGCGACTAAGATAAACTCCGTGAAGCAGTGAATGCAGTGAATATTTCGAACTGTATTAAGGATATGAATGTGACCGAGTCATGGTCATTTCTCAAGGACACGGTTATGTCTGAAGTTGATGCGTGTGTACCTAAAATTAAGCTTGGTTGAGCCAAAAAATCTCAGTTGATGAACTGTACAGTTCTAGCTAAGCTGAAAACAAAGAAGGAAGCCTACCAGCGTTATTTACGGACTCGTAGCGATGCTGATTATATCCTATACGCAAGAGCTCGAAATCAAGCTAAAGAAAGCTGTGGCATCGCAGTAAAAACCCGCGGAAAAAAAATATTGCTAAAAATGCAAAAAGAACCCGAAAGCCTTCTTTTTGTACGCTACCTCGATGTGCAAGATAAATGACGGTATTTCTGATTTGAAAGTAGATCAACGAAAGATATCCTCTGATGAGGGCAAGGCTAAAGTTCTTAATCATTTTTTTTAGTAGCATATTCACTGAAGAGGACTAGAACAGTATTCCAGCTCTTGAGGAGCGCCCAGTCGGCTCTAAATTAACAAGTTATGAAATACAAGAAGAAGAGGTTCTAAAGCGCCTGATCGCTGTAAATCCAAACAAGTCATGTGGATCGGACGGCTTCCATCCCAGATTACTCAAAAAGTTAGCAACTGTCCTAGCCAGCCCTTTGACGTCTTTTTTCGAAAAAATTTTGAACTAAGGAATCATGCCGGCTGACTGGAAAGAAGCTCAAGTGACACCATTGCTCAAAAAAGGTGACAAAAGCTGCCCTGGCAACTAATAATAGATATCGCCCTTTCAGTTTGACAAGCGTCGTTTGCCATGTAATGGAGTCTGCTGTGAGGGATCGAGTGATCGATAATTTGACTACTAATAATCTCATATCAGACTGTCAACATGGCTTTATTGCCGGGAGATCCTGCACCACTAACCTATTGTCTACTCTGAACGAATGGACCCGCCTACTGGACGAAAGGGAGCCAGTAGATGCAGTGTACCTTGATTTTGCCAAAGCATGTGACAGTGTCACACATGAGCAGCTGTTGCGTAAAAAGAAGTCTTTGGAAATTGAGATTAATGTACTCAAACGGATCAGCGATTTCCTAGTAGGGAGACGACAACGTGTCAGTATTAATGGGTTCTTATCAGACTGGGCTCCAGTGCGCAGCGGCGAGCCACAAGGAAGCATTCTCGGGCTTGTTTTATTCGTTGCGTTTATAAACGATCTGCCATAAGCTGTGTCTAGCGTGTGCTCGATGTATGCTGACGGCACAAAAATTTATAATACAGTGAAGAATACGTCGCAAAAAGTACAGTTACAAGGTGATCTTGACAGGCTGGTTGACTGGGCTGATAAGTGGCAGCTGCGTTTTAACGCTGACAAATGCAAAGTAATCCACCTTGGCAAAAATAATGAACAGCAAGATTACAGTATGTGAAGACACGGTTGCAACGACAGAGTGATGATGTTGAAGTCGACATTGGAAAAAGATTTAGGAGTTAATATCGACAAAGTTGAAATTTTCTAAGAATATTGCAGGTCAAATTAATAAAGCCAATAAACGATTTGGACTGATCAGACGCTCTTTCGAGTTCTTAGATGCAGAATCGATGAAGCAGTTGTTTATTGCTGTCGTGCGCCCGAACCTAGAGCTTAGAAATGTCGTGTGGTCACCAAAACTTGAAAAGGAGAAATTTTTAGTCGAGAGTGTTCGAAGACGTGCAACAATGATAATTCCGGGCTTGAAAGGCAAGTCCTATAGCATAGATTAAATATTATGAAGCTTCCAAGCCTCTGTTATCGACGTCTGCGTGGTGACCTCATTGAAGTATACAAGTATACTCATGGTTTATACAAGGTTCCAGAAGGAATGAAGGACTAATTTGAAACATGAACCAACACCAGTAGCCAAGGCTATAAATTAGAAAAACTGTGTTGGAACACATCCATGCGACAACATTTCTTCTTACTTCGAGTCACCGACATGTGGAACAGCCTCCCTGATAGCATCGTTGACGCTCCGAGTATGAACGCCTTCAAGAACAGACTAGACGAAGCTATGCAGATGCATATGTTCAGTCTTAAAATGCCTAGCACCATACGGACCAGGCAATAATTAAGTCCAGCAGCTATCTCAATCAATCGTCAGTTATGGTCTTATGGAAAGATCGGTTTCCAAAGGCCGGACCCCTTGTGAATCAAGTCAAGAAAAGTATAAGAATCAGCAATAGGCCTTGGGCCTATTTCTTCAGTGCCGACACTTCTATTCTATATCCTATTCATATATGCCATGTCAACGATTGATGCCATGTCATGATATAAATTTCCATTAATTTAATTATTATTATTTAAGTTAGTATTTTTATTTATTTATTTGTTCCTAAGGTTAGGTCGACGTTATTTCGTTGTCTGTAAATCGAAGGAAAAAACGATAGGTCACCTAATCTTGCATGCATAATGCTTCCAGAGAAAATACTTTCCCTAATCCATGGTATATAATAAGTAAATAATAATAACAACATCACATTATTGTTCCTAAGACGAATGCGTTGATGCTAAATTATATTTCGTGCCTAATGCTATGAGAAAAGCCGTATATTTAAATTCTATGTCTCAATATGTTCATAGTTGAGCCCCGAAAGCACTGCTGTAACTTTATTAAGTCTTTTGATAATGAGTTCTTATGTATACATGAAATTGAATCGTTATCTTGAATTAACAAAACACATGCAACTGAATTGATTGTATTAATTAAACTGAACTGAAAGCGAACAAAGAGAATTATAATTATGATGGAAACACAAAGAGATTATCGTAATAGTGAAGGGAGCATGTGTGGGTGTAATTTCGTATTATGTCAAAAATATTCATTATATCTAGCACCATTCGTAAATTAATTGATAAATAAAGCAAATGAACTATGACATTTGAGTTGAACTCAAATAAACTTAACTTGATACCCTCAGATGGGACGTTAGAAGCGTGCATTTATAAATACCTAATTGATAGGCACTATCGATGGTAAAACAGGTGAGTACAACGTATAGACGCTTATGATATTATAGTTTCAGTATAAAAATTCCTCAGAAATTTACATGTAAGAGAACTAGTATGTGAAAGAAATCAAACGATCAATCCATAGCTTTTGACTGGCAAAAAAGGTTAACGCTTAAAATATTGTTCAATGATGTGCCACGAATTCATTCAACTTCACGTCAAAACTGGAGTGTCGCGCGGAAATTTGGTGCTGAATTATACAACGTTATTTGAGTGCAGATAACAGTGTTTTATAGCTACACTGAAGGAAGATTATTACGAACTAGAGAGGGTTGCTGTGCAGTGTGAGGTTCACAACGGCGTGAACAGAAGAGTGACTTACCGTAGCGTAGTTCCGTAAGCTCTACGTGGCGATTTGGGTGTTCAAACTGATGTAAATAATGCTTATGAATTATTATCTAAAATTCATCACACTGCTACGAAATAATTTATATTAATTAATTTCATGAAAATTAAACGCTTGAAACGCGATAACTTAAAAACACGGTAAGTTTAAAATCCATTAAAAATTCATCCAGGCCACATCAGGCCTAGTATTCTTCAGCCCCGATATCACTATGCTATTACAAAATCACTATGGAGATTGCACATGAAACAATTGAGGCTTTTAATCTTTGGCCGAGAAGCCTTTCTTTCTATTTGGCAGGCTGTTCAACAGTGTGTCCAAATCATGAAATTGTTGAGTTTTTCAATTATGAACTCCTTTCGAACCCCAAAGCATTACGAAATTTGTTTGGTCGCATGGGTGTGAAGCTGTGCACATTACAGAACATCTATTATAATCACTCGTACTGTGTCATACCCGCAAAAGTCGCGGCCTTTTGCAGTGTACATTGTATATGAAGCCTGGATCTTGCTGGTCTTTTATCATGAAATTTTGTTCGGTGATTTGGTCGACGAACAAAAGTTTTTGCTGCCATTTGCATATATTAACCGAAAATTATATTGTACTGAATTTGTATATACTATATGACTAGCCTATTGTGCTTCAGATTTTTCATTTGTGTTGCCACAAGCTCTAAAAACGCATTCGAAACAAAGTTCTAACGAGCAATAAGAAGCTATTTAAAAGTTTATCATCGTTTTCAATGGTGAATAATTCAAAATCCAGAGATTTAAATGCATTTTATGCACTCTTACTCAAAATTATTACTTCTCGGACGTTCGAAATCCTTCTGAGGTCCAGCAACCTCACCATTTCTCTGCAATAACCTAAAAATCCGACAGAAGAAACTAAATCATTCGAAACCCAATTAGTTACCTGGTAAATCTGGAATATTTCCCTGACGATGTTGAGCCCTGCCATGACGATGATGACCCACTTGCCCGACGTTAGGAATATGTTTGTATTCAGTCCGAGACACTCTTGCGCAGCCTGCGCATGAGCAGATACATATTACCTATTACCTATTAAAAACATATTAAATTAATATTAATATAATAATATTACTTATTAAAAATCTACGGCTTCAACTTGTAATAAGTTTGAAATCAAATTTTTAATACATTTCACTATTAAAACCCGTTTCATGTCATTAATGTATTATAATAATTAAATGAGGAGACGGTGAAATATTCCCATCCGGTAGAATTTTATATCCTCCATTCTTTATAATTTGTTATTTATTCATTTCTTATTTGATGTCTGCATCAATTTCATCACTGGTTTGAAATATTTTGCCAATAATTATGTGTAGCAGAAGAAGTAAATAGTTTTAAATTATTTTCAAAATAATTATTGCATGTATGATCAATGTCAGCATCTCACCGCGCAAGAGTAATACGAGGCGTTAGAACAATTATTCTTCTCACGTACATCTACCATCGCTCCATCCCAGTCGCTGTCGAGGTAAGGAAACCATTGATGTTAATATAAAAAAGATATAGAACATCGAACAAAATATAGAAAGCTTCATTTAAAAAGCCTTCCAACACACTAACAATAACCTTCGTCCTCAAAACAATTTTTTTCTCAAGACGCACAATAACACATTTGCTATTTTAATGCTCATACATGGCGCTCCACTATTACTATTTTACGCCGTTCAAGTCAATAAACTTTATTTACTAAAGTACACTCATTTTCAACTTTATTCTCAGTGGTTAACATTTATCAAATATTTAATCAAAAATAATAACAGCAGTTTTAGTAACATAAATTAATAGGTATCACAGAGACTTGAAGGAATGATTTCTGAAGAGAATCACATTATAACGGGCCGACCTTTTGACGTGATATTTTTAATTCGGATCGCACAGGTAAAATTAAACCAGAATTCGGTACGATCATAACGCTGTAAAGTTTTGCAGCGTTACAAGAGTTGGAGGTTCTTACCGCGCATCGGTAATGTAGCCCGTAATTCGGTACGATTATAACGCTGTAAAGTTTTACAGCACTACAAGAGTTGAAGGTTTTTTCCGCGCATCGATTATGTATAGCCCGTAATTCGGTACGGTTATAACGCTGTAAAGTTTTACAGCACTACAAGAGTTGAAGGTTCTTACCGCGCTTCGAGGACGTAGCCCGTAAGGAATGTGAGGAACACCAGGTAGAAGAAGAGGTTGAAGTAGTACAAGTATCTGAGTGTGGTAGAAAATGTTGATTAAGAGTTCAAGAGGCAAAGGATGTAATATTGTTGAAAATTCTTAGGAACGTTCATAAATAATAACTTGAAACTCAATGTCTGAAAAATATCTAAAACGCGCGTCGTGTAAAGAAGCTTGATGCAATATAAAGACATCAGCATTCAAACATATTAGAAATGCAAAGGTGTGTCGGTGTGAAAAGCACTGTTGCTCAAAAACAATTACAATAAACAAATCAGACTTAATGTAAAACAAATTAATTGAATCAAAGGTAATAGACTTTAGTCATTAATTCCAAGGTCTTGTAATGATAAAATGTTATTATAAATTTCTTGATGACTAACCTGCCTGATGTCATCCACTTATGTTTGACCATGGCCACGGTGACTGGATGACCAAGCAAGTTGGAACGTCGGTGTTTGACCATCAGCGTGAGCGGATGATTGCGCTTCATCTCACGTGCGTCGTCGGTGAAGAGACGCGCCTCTGGAAGCAGCTACACCAAAAAAGGAGGAAATTTTTAGTAACTTCATATACATGAAATGATTGGCAATGTGTTAAATTTTAATTAAAGAAACTTTAAGTTTAAAATAATAATATACGTTTAAAAATTACTTTTTAAAGACAACACTTCCAAAGAATCCAGTATTTCCAATCTTACAGATGTACAACGAATTTCTCATCTAATTTTCAAAAATTAAAAAAAATTAACTTTTCAATTTTTTTAATATATATAATTTTTTTTAGAATATAATTTTTTAAATTATTTATTCTGTTAATTGATTCATGCATTGCCTCTGATTTCACACAAGTGTGCAAAATTTCAAATCAATTAGACAGGTAAAAGTGTGTCAAATATCAGTTATAAGATTTGGAGATGACATAATTATTTTTTCATTTTTTTAATATGAAAATTGTTTTTTTTAATTTTTAAAATAATTTATTTTGACATTTGATTCATGCATTGTCTCCAACTTTACACAAGTGTGCAAAATTTCAGATCGATAGGATAAGTAGAAATGTATTAAATTTCAATTACAAGATTTGTAGCAGACAGACAGACAGACAGACAGACAAGAAGTGAAGTTAAAGAGAAGTGTTGTAATAATAATAAAATACAACAAAATTCCTTATCAATCTTAATTCACCGTCATCAAAAATAACTCATTAATGGAGATTTTAAGTTAAAAAGTATAACGGAATTCCTCATAAAAAATATTTTATTTAAAGGGTCTAAATCAGTGGTTCCCAAATTGGGCGATATCGCCCCCCTGTGGGCGGTAGAAAGATCTGGGGGGCGGTGAGTAAGAGAGAGGCAGTTGGGGGCGGCAGTCGGCGAAGTCGCAGTCAGAAGTTCGTACGTTTGTTTGACGATTTGTACACAACACGTGTAGAACATGACTCCGACTCGTATAAATTTTCACGAGCTAAAAATCACCGTTTGGTAGTTAGGATTCACTATTGCGATATATTCAAAATTTCGTTCGAATCTGTTCAGTAGTTTGGAAGAAATTCTTTGATCACCACGAATTTCGGCCCGTATCACCATATAACTTCCTAATGAAGGTGAAATTTAGAAAAAAAAATTCACGAGCTAAACAGCACCGTTAGGTCCTAATGAATACGTGTTCCAAGTTTTATCGAGCTGCGTTTATTAGTTTGGGAGATATTCGTTGGCCACTGAATTTGGAGATTGGTCGTGAGACTGGCTGCGAGACCAGCCACGAGTCCGGCCGTAAATTAGTCCGAGCCGTCTTGAATTTCTAGTGCTGAAACAGTTAAAACTGTAAAAAATATATTGGTTTACTAAATGGGGTTCTATTTGTGGAATACACATTTGTGTTTAACCTTTCTCCTATAAAATTGCAGCATAGTAATTATAAACAAAATGGCATTTGTTTTTATATGTGTCTGTCGGGGGGGGGGGCGCTAAAGATTAACTATGGAGCCAAAGGGGCCGCCAGGCTGAAAAAGTTTGAGAACCACTGGTCTACATGCTAAACCGATACAACAAAGTTCCTTAATTCATTCCGGCCTCTGCATAATCTTATCTCTGAAATATCTTATTTAAATTGACTTTAAGCTAAAAAAATACAAGAGAGTTTAGTATTCATACATCTCCTGCGTCATCAAAAATGTCTGCTATAGAAAAACCTGTCTTTGAACCAATTAAAAATAAAGTCGTTTATCAATCCAACTCATGTCACCTCAAAAGTATTTTATTTTAGAGACTTGACATGGAATAGATTCAACAGAGTCTATTATAAGTCAAACTCCAGCGTCATCGAACTCCAGCGTCATCAAAAATATATTACTTTCCAGAGACTTGACGTAAAATAGATTCAACAGAGTCTATTATAAATCATACTCCAGCGTGATTCCGGTTCGAGCTGCGGTAGACGACGGACGTTGGTAAGAGGAGCTGCGTCTTTTTTGAAAATCGGTGAGTAACTTGTCCGAAGAAAGTGGTCAATAGGCTGTTGAAAATTTCAAGAATTGATTCTGACGTAGCGTTGACACTTAAGTAGGAAAGGAATAATAGAAGGAGGGAAGGATATCTTTTTTTTTGTTATTGTTTCTTCCTTTCTTTGATAATTTGTAGGATTATTAATTTGTTTCTTTTGGCTTAATTACATTGCCCAACTTTGTTGGATACATCAATGGAGAGCGACACTCCAGGAAGTGGAGTGGTAGCCTGCAAGATGAAAGGGAAAAGGAAAACATCAAGAGCAAAGATAACCTCTGATGGAGCCTCTGAATTTGAGGATGAATGGCCTCTTCCTGACCTATCCTTTTCAGAAGACCCTGCAAGGAAAGAGGTGCCTCTGATGGATAATTCCCCTTTGCCAATTGCCTCTCAAGCCCGAAAAANAACCGGTAGACTAATCAGATGCACTATTTAATGCTCATAAGACACAATTATTTTGCCTAATAGCCTTATTTATTACAGATTGGCTTGCCAGACGGGGGAGCCTTTTGAGCCGTGAGGTGTATGGAGGACGACTCCACTTCCTCAAGAAGCAGACAAAACAACAACAACATACTCCAGCGTCATCAGAAAATCTTACTTTCCAGAGACTTGACATAGAATATATTCAACAGTGTCTATTATAAATCAATCTCCAGCATCATCAAAAATATCTTATTCAAAGAGACGTTGAACAGATTCAACATGGCACCTGGCCGTCGTCGTTGAAGGCTGTAGGAGGCACGAAGGAAGCGCCGCCGTTGAGAGAGCAGTCGTTGCCCGACACCAACTGGAAGGAATCGTCCAGGAACTCAAAGTTGAACTTGATGCCGAAGTTGATGTTGTCAGAGTCTACGCCGTTAGCTGTAGTGCACCTGCATATATAAATAGGGAAAAATATTAGATCGTTCTTTAACGAGAAGTTGATGTTGTCCGAGTCCACGCCGTTAGCTGTAGTGCACCTGCATTTATAAATAGGGAAAAATATTAGATCGTTCTTTAACGAGAAGTTGATGTTGTCCGAGTCTACGCCGTTAGCTGTAGTGCACCTGCATTTAAAAATAGGGAAAAATATTAGATCGTTCGTTAACAAGAAGTTGATGTTGTCAGAGTACACGCCATTAGCTGTAGTGCACTTGCATTTAAAAATGGGGGAAAATCTTAGATCGTTCTTTACGAGAAGTTGATGTTGTCAGAGTCCACGCCGTTAGCGGCGGTGCACCTGCATTTAAAAATAGGGAAAAATATGAGATCGTTCTTTAGAGAAGTTGATGTTGTCCGAGTCCACGCCGTTAGCTGTAGTGCACCTGCATATATAAATAGCGAAAAATATGAGATCTTTTGTTAACGAGAAGTTGATGTTGTCCGAGGGTATGCCTTTGTACAACAGGAATTATTAGAGAAAGATAACGGATCGTTGAGTTCATTGTCGAGGTGTATATTCTCCGGTGTTTATTGACAAATATTCTCCTAAATCAAGCATTATTAATACTGGAAGACTTTATATTTCTAGAATCTTAATTCTAATTTGTGCAACCATTTCTAATTAACATAATGCATTCATAAATTTTGCATTAATAAAGCTTTTTACACGCAGTCGTCGCGTCGTACCCAAAAAAATTGTTTCATTTGATCAACATCGTGGACGAGATAGAAGCAAAATGAAGAATGGAACGACATTCCTACACCACAATTTCCTTTGTTGCAGTCTTTTAGTGGTGAAGCTTTAGACGGAATATTTATTAGTGCTTTTAGCTATTTGCCGGCATATTGTAATCGAAAGCGAGCCAGCACCACAGAATTTTTTCATATACTTCATTTAAGTTGATTTTTATCTTGACACGTTTGAGTCAACGGCTACCAAACCATAGCGCACTTCTGGCGGGCGTGGGGATATTGCATATGGGTTCAACTGTCCCTATATGTCACCTCCTGCTGTCTCTCTGTCGCCTCCTGCTGTCCCTCTGTCACCTCATGCTGTCCCTCTGTCACCTCCCTCTGTCCCTCTGTCACCTCCTGCTGTCACTCTGTCACCTCCTGCTGTCCCTCTGTCCCTCTGTCGCCTCCTGCTGTCCCTCTGTCACCTCCTGCTGATGCTGTCCCTCTGTCACCTCCCTCTGTCTCTCTGTCACCTCCCTCTGTCTCTCTGTCACCTCCCTCTGTCTCTCTGTCACCTCCTGCTGTCCCTCACATACACCTCCTGCTGCCCCTCTGTCACTCTGTCCCTCTGTCCCTCTTCCCCTCTGTCCCTCTGCCACTCTGTCACCTCCTGCTGCCCCTCTGTCACCTCCCTCTGTCTCTCTGTCACCTCCCTCTGTCTCTCTGTCACCTCCCTCTGTCTCTCTGTCACCTCCCTCTGTCTCTCTGTCACCTCCCTCTATCTCTCTGTCACCTCCCTCTGTCCCTCTGTCACCTCCCTTTGTCTCTCTGTCACCTCCCTCTGTCCCTCTGTCACCTCCCTCTGTCTCTCTGTCACCTCCCTCTGTCTCTCTGTCACCTCCTGCTGTCCCTCTGTCACCTCCTGCTGCCCCTCTGTCACTCTGTCCCTCTGTCCCTCTGCCCCTCTGTCACCTCCCTCTGTCCCTCTGTCACCTCCTGCTGTCCCTCTGTCACCTCCTGCTGCCCCTCTGTCACTCTGTCCCTCTGTCCCTCTGCCCCTCTGTCACCCTGTCTCTTATACACATCTAGATGTGTATAACCTCTGTCACCTCCTGCTGTCCCTCTGTCCCTCAGTCACCTTCCTCTGTCCCTCTCCCCCTCTGTCACCTCCTGCTGTCCCTCTGTCCCTCTGTCCCTTTGTCACCTCCTGCTGTCCTTCTGTCCCTCTGTCCCTTTGTCACCTCCTGCTGTCCCTCTGTCACCTGTCCAGGACGAACTCGGCCGCCTCAGGGAAGCGCCTGACGAGCATCCTGAAGGGGGTGACGCGGCGCCCCCTGCTGGAGATCCTGCAGTGCCGCAGGGCGTCAAGCCATTGGCTGCTCTTCACCATCGCCATCACCACGTCTCTGATGATGATTTCAATCATCAACTATATTGAATGATTTGCAAAAGATAAAAAAAAATATTTTCCAAAAGGCATTTAATATATACTTCCTTTGCTGATAATAATCATTACCTATGTTGGCAGTTATGATGCCTTCTTCTAAATTATATATTTTTAAAGAATTGTACAGCAGAATTTATTTTAGTATAAATCTCGCAGTAAATGAGATGTGAGATTAAATTAGATGTGAGAGTAAATGAGATGTGTGAGTAAATGAGATGAGATGTGAGAGTAAATGAGATGTGAGAGTAAATGACATGTGAGAGTAAATGAGATGTGAGAGTAAATGAGATGTGAGAGTAAATGAGATGTGAGAGTAAATGGGATGTGAGAGTAAATGAGATATGAGAGTAAATTAGATGTGATAGTAAATGAGATTTATAGTAATTTTCCCACTGACTTCTTGCCGGCAGCGATGGCGAGCTCGAGGGCGTTGCGGCCCGTCGCGTCGCACGCCGCGAGTGACGCGCCCTTCGCCAGCAACGTCTGCACGGCCTCCACGTGCCCGCCCCGCGCCGCCAGCTGCAGCGGTGTCGTCCGACGCTAGCATGTACACAAATGGATACATGCTTCTCTTAACAAAAACGCTTCTCTTAACTTGAAAATGAATGTTGCTACATTCGAAACGTCGTTGATATATTATTATTTGCTAAATCTGCCTTTTGATCTACCAACGTCATCTAAGAATTGTTCAACTCTTTGAAAATTCAAATGCACTCTCTGGTCATAAATTGTACGCATATAATCAAGAAATTTCTGCCATCTTATAATAAATGTATACATTAATACAATACATTAATACATCAATGTACACATGTATTAATGTATATATTAAAAAGAATAATACATTAATACGTGCTCCCCCCGAGCTGACGGCTGCAGCGGTGTCGTCCGACGCTGACATGTGCACAAATGTATACATCAATACAATACATTAATAACGTTAATGTATGCATGTATTAATGCATAATGTATGAATGTACATGTAATATTGTATGTATTAACAACAATAATACATTAACACGTGCTCCCCTAGAGCTGACGGCTGCAGTGGTGTGGTCCGACGCTGGCTCGATACACGAAAGACATACATTAATAAATGCATTAATAACGTTGGCGCATAAACAACATTAATACATTGATGCGTGCCCGCCTCGTGATAGATGCAGCGACGTCGTCCAACGCTGGTATAAACACAAATTTATAAATTCAAGCTATATATTTGTAACGTTTATACAATAATAATATTGATGTATTAATACTTGGCCGCCTCGAACTGTCAGCTGCAGTGACGTGGTTAAAAAATCTGGATTATCGAAACATATACATCAACACTCAATATTTAGAAGGATAACTAATCAATTTAGTTCCATGAACCTAGCTATCATATTTAGGTTTCGTAAAGAAAAATTGCAAATGTTGTTTCACGGAAGATTGCCCCATTGTTTATTGAAAAATTATTGAAACTTCTATGGAGTCAATGAACATCATAAAATAATGCAAGGGACAATAATGACCTACCAACCAATGATGTCAACTTAATGAGTAAAATAATCCATCCTTACATATGCGATCGAAATTCCTGATCTCGTCTATCTTTGGATAAAGTGATTACTTGAAATTCGGTTGGAGTATTGAATTGGTTCAAGACAGCTTATTTTGTCGAGCGGGTCGAGGGGCGAGCCGTACTCGAGGAGCAGAAGGCAGCTCACCTTGTCGAGCGGGTCGAGAGGCGAGCCGTACTCGAGGAGCAGAAGGCAGCTCACCTTGTCGAGAATTCCTGATCTCGTCTATCTTTGGATAAAGTGATTACTTGAAATTCGGTTGGAGTATTGAATTGGTTCAAGACAGCTTATCTTGTCGAGCGGGTCGAGGGGCGAGCCGTACTCGAGGAGCAGAAGGCAGCTCACCTTGTCGAGCGGGTCAAGAGGCGAGCCGTACTCGAGGAGCAGAAGGCAGCTCACCTTGTCGAGCGGGTCGAGGGGCGAGCCGTACTCGAGGAGCAGAAGGCAGCAGTCTGTGTGTCCCTCAAATGAGGCACAGTCCAGGGGCGTCCACAAGGACGTGTTGCGCGCCTCAACATCAGCACCCGCGTCCAGCAGCGTCTTGACCACAGCCTGGTGGCCCTGAAATCGCGACCATGACTTGTGACTTGATCCGCAGCACCAATCTACTATGGAGGCTATAAAAGAGCCAATGTACTATGGAAGCTATAAAAGAGTGGCCCTGAAATCGCGACCATGACTTGTGGCTTGATCCGCAGCACCAATCTACTGTGGGAGCTATTAAAGAGCAATAAGCTACTGAATCTAAAAATGCAGTTAGTGTACTCTTAGCGAATAAAATACTGTATATGCAACCTGTACACTGATTTTCGAGTTCATGTCTTCATTCGATAGCAAAACACGAGCGAAGGTCTTTATTATTTACTGCCTCATCTTGAAGTCTCCACACGCGACGCATGAAAGAGTTGTGAATTCAAGACTGCGTACCTGAGCCATCAAAAATGACTATCATCCATTTTTCATTATCCAATGACCATCTTCATCCATTGAGATTCGGAGATTCTAATTCAAAGTTTTGGTATCTATACATTTTACTCCACAAATCCAATTTAACGAATATGCCGCTTCGATTAAATAATATTTTTAGGCAGGAAGCTGTCGCTTCCTGATCAAAGACATTCCAGTCTGAGCGACTTTTGTTTAATCATTGAGTGAAATGTCTCCTTCTCAAGGTGAAACCGCAGCTGTAGGTAGAGAACGAGCTGTAGGTAAACCGGATATGTAGGAGGGTAAAATCAGTAGTCTTCATATGCAAATTAACGAAGGAAGACCCCATTATTAAGAGCGACAGGCCTGATGCAATATCTCACCTTGAGACTGGCTAAATGCAGTGGTGTATCCGAGTCTTCGTTCTGATCGTTTATGAGGTAGCGATACCGGCCAATCAACTCCATCACGACCCTGGAACCATTTTATGAACGGATTAATAGCATTTGAATGAATATTGATTTGGGAATTTTGCAAGCAGGAATCAAAAAACTTTCATTATTATAAAACATGAGTCCTATTATTTTAAAACACGACTTTATAGAATATGAATGTATTCGAACAAAATACATATCGAATGTTTGTGAAAATTCTATTTGATTTATAATATCACTCCGCACAACTAATTGAAATCATTCGTAGGCTTTGCCTCCGTCCCAATGCGAAAATAAAATATGATACAACCAAAAGTCACTGGCCCTCCTCAGACGAAATATTCACTGGCCCTCCTCGAAGGAAAATTCACTGGTCCTCCTCGACGAAAATTCGCCGGCCCTCCTCAGACAAAAAATTCATTGGCCCACTTCGACAAAAAATTCACTGGCCCTCTTCAACGAAAATTCACCGGCCCTCCTCGACAAAAATTCACTGGCCATCCTCGACAAAATTCACTGGCCCTCCTCGACAAAAATTCACTGGCCCTCTTCGACGAAAATTCACCGGCCCTCTTCGACAAAAATTCACTGGCCCTCCTCTCACGAAAAATTCACTGGTCCTCCTCGACGAAAATTCACTGGCCCTCCTCGACGAAAATTCACCGGCCATCCACAGACAAAAAATTCACTGGCCCTCCTAGACGAAAATTCACTGGCCCCTAAAATATGATACCTGTTCTTGCCCTCCTCAGCGGCGACGTGCAGCGCCGTCTCTTCGTCCTCGTTCTTGTTGTCAATTTGGGAGCCTGCGTCGAGGAGGGCGGCCACCGTCTGCCGGAACCCTCGGCGCGCCGCCTCGTGCAGGGGCGAGTTGCCGTACCGGTCTGACGTGTCGATGAGCTCCACGCACAGCGGGTTCTTCAGGAGCTCCTAGGGGACGAGTCTTGTGTTCAGAACTGTTATGTTTTGGGCAATATTTATCTTCAGAAGCTAATTAGGAACAAGTTTTGTGCTTAGAACTGTTATGTTTTGCGCAATATTTATTTTCAGGAGCTCCTAAGGGACGAGTCTTGTGCTCAGAACTGTTATATTTTGTGCAATATTTATCTTCAAATGCTACTAAGGGACGAGTCTTGTGCTCAGAACTGTTACTAAGGGACGAGTCTTGTGCTCAGAACTGTTATATTTTGTGCAATATTTATCTTCAAATGCTACTAAGGGACGAGTCTTGTGCTCAGAACTGTTATATTTTGTGCAATATTTATCTTCAGAAGCTCCTTAGGGACGAGTCTTGTGCTTAGAACTGTTTTTTGCAATTTTAATATCAACGTGTCGATGAGCTCAACGCATGTGGATTACTTGACAAATAACGATTAATTGACGAGCTCAGCGTCAAGTAATTCTTCAGTTGAATTATAATTTTATATTTGGAATGATTATTTGACGGCAACTACAAGAAAGAATGACGATAGAGATTTAAATTAATACCGTCACTCTTTTTTATTTGTCATCGCCGAGGAAAATAGTTCCAGGTGTGAGATAGGATGACAGACCATCAACGAAAATTTGATTCACCTGCTAACGAACAATCATTTTAATAATCTTTTAAGGGATTTCCCTTGGCCAAACCCTAAGGATCCGAATAATTACTATTGTACTATGGCTTATGTAAAACATCCACGCCAAACTTTAAGTTGCCGTATAATGAATACTATGACTTAGGTAAAACATCCCAACAAATCATAAGGATACGTTTAATCAATACCATAACATTAGGTAAAGCTTTCCATCAAATCTTACGGATCCGCGTAATTCCAGAGGTGGGCAGTAGCGCGCTACATGTAGCGGTAGCGGTAGCGGCGCTACATATTTAAGTAGTGATACGAGGTTTTGCCGCTACAGCGCTACCGCTACATTGATAGATAAAGCCTTTAGATTTTACTTAATAGTATTATATATTATTAAAAAACCAGCATGATACATACATAATATAAATTACAGAATAAACCTGTACGAAAGATTTCGGTGTAATGTTGTCAACCTCAGCCTGTTACTAGTGTCAACATGTTAGTTGTTACTTATTAAGTTGTTGCCAGTTACCACTTACAGGTATTTTTTCATGTTTCAGTTTGCTTGCAGTTATTTTTACACAGTTATTTTTACAGTTATTTTTCCCTACATGGATGTCTACTTTAATCTACCAATCTCAAAAATAATCCATATAAATATACAAATAAAAAACTGATTTTTTATATGTAAATATGGATAATTTTGTAGATTGATAGATTAAAGTACACATCCATGTAGGGAAGGTAAAACGTAAAAATAACTGTAACTTTTATTTACTGTATCTAACCCGTACTAGTTCGGTTAGGTTAATTGCAATAACGTTGCATTAATATGTTTTGAAAATGTTTTATTATCATTCAATGTTGATGAGTAAATCCCAATAGCAGAACAATAAATATTTAGAGATTTCCAATAATTTCGACCATTGTAGCGGCTAATATAGCGGCGCTACATTTTACTGTAGCGGTAGCGGTAGCGCTCGCTACAATCTTGTGGGTGTAGCGGTAGCGGTAGCGCCGTTACATTTCAAAGTAGCGCTGCCCAGCTCTGGATATATTATAATGTTGCATCTACAGAATGATGACGATTTTCACTTCCAATGCAACTCACCTGGGTAGGTGCTTATATAATAATAAGATATTACTTAAATGCCACGCTCTTGCGTGTTTTTGAAAGTGATTTCTCGGAGAGAGGGGTATGCTTTCATAGGGGAGAGGGGTATGCATTCATATATATAAGCGTATAGCATCAAATGTCATTTTCTTTGCTGCCGCTTTCTCTGGAAGAAAATATGAATTTTTATCGTAAACCTATCTATTTTAGCTGACATGCATGAAAATTCTAAATATATAAATTCATTCTGAACGAATTTTGCAAACTACAATTATCAGATTTATGAACAAAATGTTTGAGAGTGTCGATGTTTCACTTGAATTCAGCGAGAAAAATTCGAAATAACACTATTGTATTAACAAATTATTGCATTGTGAGGGATTATGACCGACGTACGCAGGCGAGTTCGCTGAAGTGTCGAATCGGTGGGATTATGCCTCAAAATTATTGTGCAACAAAAATTTATTTGAATGGATAACTGTTGTAATATTAATTAATGTTTGGATATGTATAATTCAATAATAGAAGACAATCGTCAGTCTGTTCGAAGCTTACCATGTTAATCTGATCATATCAAGAAATAGTATACAATAGATGCTGCTAAACAACTTGCTCTCGGTGAGTAAAAAATAGATGCTGCAAAGATTCTTCATCGCGGTAATTAACAGGTATTTAAATATATGCTGGAAAGCTAATGTCTCTCAATTTGCGCAAAATATATCCTGCTTGCTTTCGACATCACTAAATAATGTGAGAATCGGCGCAATTTTCGATGGAAATAATCTTCAATCAAGTAATTTTCGCTTGCAAAACCTTTCCTGTACAAGCGCCGCATTTCGAGAGCAGTCGCCAATGGATTTATAAAACATGCATGAAAATTCGAAACATATAAATTAATTCTGAGCGTATTTTACAAACTACAACAATTATCAGTTTTAGGAACAAAATGTTTGAGTGTGTCGATAGTTCACGTGAATTCCACGAGAAAATTTTGAAATAACACTTTTGTATTATTAAATTATTGCATTGTGAGTTATTATTCTTCAAAATTGATGTGCAACGAAAATTTATTTTAATGGATAACTGTTGTAATATTGAATAAAGTTCGAACATAATTCAATCATAGAAGACAATTGTCAGTCTCTTTGAAGCTTACCATGTTAATTTGATCGTATCAAGAAATAGTATACAAATAATACAATAGATTCGGTGAGTAAAAAATAGATGCTGCGAAGATTCTTTAACTCGGTATTTTACAGGCATTTAAATCCATGCTGGTTAGCTAATGTCTCACAATTTGCGCAAAATATATGCTGCTTGCTTTCCACATCACTAAATAATGTGAGCATCAGCTCAATTTTCACAGAAAATAATGTTAAATCAAGTAATTTTTGCTTGCGAAACTTTTCCTGTACAATTAAGCGCCGCATTCAGAGGGCAGTCGCAAATGGATATATTATAATGTTGCATAAACAGAATGATGAAGATTTTCACTTCCTATACAACTCACCTGGGTAGGTGCTTATATAATAATAAGATATTACACAAATGCCACGCTCTTGCGTGTTTTTGAAAGTGATTTCTCGGAGAGGGGGGGTATGATTTCAATTATATAAGAGTATAGCATCCAATGTCATTTTCTTTGCGCCCGCTCTCTCTAGAAGAAAATTTGAATTTTTATCGTAAACCTATCTATTTTAGCCAACGTGCATGAAAATTTGAAGTATATAAATTCATTCGGAGCGAATTTTGCAAACTACAACAAATATCAGTTTTATGAATAAAATTTTTGAGAGTGTCGATGGCGCACGTGAATTCCGCGAGAAAATTTTGAAATAACAATACTTTGTTAATAAATTATTGCATTGTGAGTGACTATTCTTCAAAATTGATGTGCAACGAAAATTTATTTGAATGGATAACTGTTGTAATATTCAATAAAGTTTGAATATAATTCAATCATAGAAGACAATCGTCAGTGTTTGAAGCTTACCATGTTAATTTGATCAAATCAAGAAATAGTATACAATAGATGCTGCTAAACAACTTGCTCTCGGTGAGTAAAAAATAGATGCTGCAAAGATTCTTCATCGCGGTAATTACCAGGTATTTAAATATATGCTGGAAAGCTAATGTCTCTCAATTTGCGCAAAATATATGCTGCTTGCTTTCGACATCACTAAATAATGTGAGCATCGGCGCAATTTTCGATGGAAATAATCTTCAATCAAGTAATTTTCGCTTGCAAAACCTTTCCTGTACAAGCGCCGCATTTCGAGAGCAGTCGCAAATCGATTTATAAAACAGGCATGAAAATTCGAAACATATGAATTCATTCTGAGCGTATTTTACAAACTACAACAATTATCAGTTTTAGGAACAAAATGTTTGAGTGTGTCGATAGTTCACGTGAATTCCGCGAGAAAATTTTGAAATAACACTATTGTATTATTAAATTATTGCATTGTGAGTTATTATTCTTCAAAATTGATGTGCAACGAAAATTTATTTTAATGGATAACTGTTGTAATATTCAATAAAGTTTGAATATAATTCAATCATAGAAGACAATCGTCAGTCTCTTTAAAGCTTACCATGTTAATTTGATCATATCAAGAAATAGTATACAATAGATGCTGCTAAACAACTTGCTCTCGGTAAGTAAAAATTGATGCTGCGAAAATTCTTTATCTCGGTATTTAACAGGTATTTAAATATATGCTGGTAACTTAATAATAAGGTACAAAGTCCCTTCATACCTCAAGGATTCGTATAATTAATGTCATAACTTAGGTTTCAACCTCCCCGCCAGACTTCAAAGATCCGAATAATTAATATCACTGCTCAGGTACCTTACATACGCGCCAAACCTCTAGGATCAGTAATATTAATACCATAACTTAAGTTCAACTGCCACGCCATACCTCAAGGATCCGTATTTCGCCCTCAGCGGCGCCCCAGAAAACGACGGATTTTTCGTCTTTATCAACAACTTGGACGTCGGCGTTGGCCTCCAGCAGAGCCAACGTCGCATCCAGCTGCCCTTCCTTCACCGCCAGCAGCAGCGGCGTGAACGAGTTCCTACGAACAAGAAAAAATATATAACTCAGTACTCACTGCAGTGAGTGACAGAGAACGCATTTTCTCGTCGACGAAAACGTGAAGTCACGGACGGACGGACAGACGGACGGACAGTCAGACGGACGGACCGACGGACGGACGGACGGATGGACATGGTGAGCACAATAGTGCATTTTTTCCATAAATGAGTAAATGCGCCAAAAACGTATTTTTTCGTAAGACTTATACACAAATAAATCAAGATGAATAGAGAATATAATTGTACAATGTTTTTGCAGTTTTTCGAAGACAACTTATTATTAAAAAGGCATAAAGTTTGAAAACTAGCAATCGATTGATAAATAATAATTCAAGGCATAATGAAGTGCAAGAAAGGAAAGACACGACAGAAAAGTTTAACCGGAAAATGTTCATCATGTTACATAAATTAAAAATGCATAACAATCGGCAATAATTGTACTGGTTGTATTGACCTGTCCCTGCGTTCAATATTGGCGCCATGTTTGATGAGCGCCCTCATTGATTTAGGCCTGTTGTTAGCCGCCGCCTTGTGGAGCGGAGTTTGTTGGTTGCAGTCCACGCTGTCTATCCGAGCATCGTACTGCAAAAATTAAACCGTTAGCTTTGAAAAAAATATAACCCAGTACTTACTGCAGTGAGTGACAGAGAGCGCATTTTCTCGTCGACAAAAACGTGAAGTCACGGACAGACGGACGGACAGACGGAAATGGCGAGCACAATAGTGCATTTTTTTCATAAATGAAAAAATGCGCTAAAAACGGCTATGCTATTAAAAGGGTAACCTAAAACTATCCAAAAACGCGAAGAACAACGTCTCTTGAATTGGTCCATCCTTTTACGAAAGATATAGTGTGGATTGTGCACTAAAGGTTCAATCGTCACAGTTAAGTACACAATTATTCTCTAAAGCGTGTAGAAATCATTTTAATTGACTGGTTTCAAACTGCGACACTTCCTCGGCATTACAGTTGTAACACTTTCGTGAACTCATTATTATAGATGGAAACCTAACAAAATACATTTTTTCATTGCAAAGGCAACTCAATACTAAAAGAAGTAAGATGTGTCATAATCTAATGCAAAAAAGTCCGTAGTGAGTCCGATACGCCAGCATTACCCTGACGAGTGCCCTGACCCAGCATTACCCTGACGAGTGCCCTGACTCAGCATTACCCTGACGAGTGCCCTGACCCAGCATTACCCTGACGAGTGCCCTGACTCAGCATTACCCTGACTCAGCATTACCCTGACGAGTGCCCTGACTCAGCATTACCCTGACTCAGCATTACCCTGACGAGTGCCCTGACTCAGCATTACCCTGACTCAGCATTACCCTGACGAGTGCCCTGACTCAGCATTACCCTGACTCAGCATTACCCTGACCCAGCATTACCCTGACCCAGCATTACCCTGACTCAGCATTACCCTGACTCAGCATTACGCTGACGAGTGCCCTGACTGAGCATTACCCTGATTCAGCATTACCCTGACCCAGCATTACCCTGACCCAGCATTACCCTGACTCAGCATTACCCTGACTCAGCATTACCCTGACTCAGCATTACCCTGACTCAGCATTACCCTGACGAGAAGCTCTATGAGTTCCTCAGAGCCAGCAGTGGCGGCAGCGTGCAGGGGCGTGGCGAGCGTGTCACGCGTGACGTTGGGATCAGCGCCCTCCTCCAGCAGCAGTCTGCTCGTCTGCACGTTAATAATCTATAAATAATCTATAATCTAATCTATAATAATCTAATATCTATCAAAAAAATCTATGACGAATATTCAATCAACGCTAACTTGAATTTCATGCATACTGGGATAACGTATTGCCGTCAATGCGGTAGAAATAAAGTTATGTCATCGATAAAAGGGATTACAAAACTTTTTCGACTACTCCCTTGGCGCTAATATAATTCATTATAGAATGAATTGTAAGTTGAATGTAGAAAAAAAGTAATCAAACGCGTAGCACTCACGGGTTACGATTTGGGTTAGTATTTTTGGCAACTGCGGTCAAGATCGAGTTATGCATGATATCTTCTCTACTCTTGGCGTACCGTACTAATGTTTAAATAAGGATTGTACGTATTTAAACTGTCAATCCAGTCCACTTCACATTTATTTATTTAGTAGTATGAAGTACGAGTAGTATGGTAGTGAGTAATTAATAGTAGGAAAGAGCCTGTTAATGACCGTCCAGTGTTAGTCCCATTCATTTGAGTCATTAATTAATAGTATATGGTAGTGAGTAATTAATAGTAGGAAAGAGCCTGTTAATGACCGTCCAGTGTTAGTCCCATTCATTTGAGTCATTAATTAATAGTAACCTGGTAATGGCCGTCCAGTGTTAGTCCCATTCATTCGAGTCATTAATTAATAGTAACCTAGTAATGGCCGTCCAGTGTTAGTCCTAGTCATTTGAGTCATAAGTTATTAAACGTGGTAATGGCCGTCCAGGGTTATACCCATTCAATTGAAGTAGAAATTAGTAATCTGATAATGGCCGTCCAGTATTACACCCATTCAATTGAGGTAGTAATTAGTAACCTGGTAATGGCCGTCCACTATAATACCCATTCATTTGAGGTAGTAATTAGTAACCTGGTAATGGCTGTCCAGTATAATACCCATTCATTTGAGTCATTAATTAGTAACCTGGTAATGGCCGTCCAGTATAATACCCATTCATTTTAGGTAGTAATTAGTAACCTGGTAATGGCCATTAGCGACGGCCTGGTAGAGCGCAGTCATGCGTTCGCTGTTGCGTGCCAGGATGAGGTTGTGTAGAAGGTCGCCGTCGCCGCGCTTCTTGCACACGCTCAGCAGGAGGTGGACGATCTCCTGCACAACAGTTAATTGCTTAATTAATCTCCTGCACAACAGTGAAAGGTTAATTGCTTGCTAATTATTATCTCTTATTTACTTTTGTCGGCGATTAAAATTCGAGCGCTGAGACTGCGTTAACTTATTGGATTGTTTAAAAAAAAGACACCTTACGTAAACTGCAGATTTTTGCGTAAGAGTGTATGCAGAAGATGTTAATTAATTGAGAATATGGAATTGATGTGAGTAGTATAGAAAGAGATCACAGTCTGCATTAAAGGCACTAATCATAAGTTAAGACCATTTCCCCCGATTGGATAGCACTTCCAATATTCCCAATAGATTTTAATCAGTTAGTAAATATTTGGACACTATTCGTCATTAATAACCCAGGACTTAACCTCGAGCAAGTGTCGCTTTGAAAGATACTTCTTTGGAATATATAATTGATATACATTTTTGAACTACTTTCCAGAACCTGCGTGCTGATCTCTATTAATTAACACAAAGCTATAAGGTACTTTATTTCAGTTCTTGGTACATCAGTTCTTGAAACTCTGCAAAGGGCATATCGCAAGCAATGTAGTCACTATGAATGTTCTTCATATCGATGACAGGTAGCTCGAATAGAATTATTAAATTTGAATTCGTTCTAATGGTTTGTCTTGGTAGTATGTGATAGTTTTGGGATAAGTAAATTGAACTACAGCTATTATGTCTCCCACGGGTGTAAAACTATCAGCAGGATTTTGATTCTTTTCCGTGGCAATATCATCATAAAAAATAAATGAATAAATACTTCATATCGGTATCATGTACCTTGGAGCAGGAACAGAAGCAGTATTTTGATTTTCGCCGAACTTTGATGGCTAAGATTCGGGGTAAGATCGGAGGTAAATGGTCAGGTTTTATTCGGGGGTGAATGGTCGTTATTCTATTAAGTCTTTTATGCAAACTTCGATGATAGGCCCTCTTCTGTACTACATACTAATGTCCCTCAGCCGCCCTATGTAATGGCGTCTGGTATTACCTTGTGGCCCTCAGCAGCCGCCCTATGTAACGGCGTCTGGTATTACCTTGTGGCCCTCAGCAGCCGCCCGTAACGGCGTCTGGTTTTACCTTGTAACCCTCAGCAGCCGCCCTATGTAACGGCGTCTGGTATTATATATGTCCCTCGGCAGCCGCCCTATGTAATGGCGTCTGGTATTACCTTATGGCCCTCAGCAGCCGCCCTATGTAACGGCGTCTGGTATTACCTTGTGGCCCTCAGCACCCTATATAACGGCGTCTGGTATTATATATGTCCCTCGGCAGCCGCCCTATGTAATGGCGTCTGGTATTACCTTATGTCCCTCAGCAGCCGCCCTATGTAAAGGCGTCTGGTATTACCTTGTGGCCCTCAGCAGCCGCCCTATGTAACGGCGTCTGGTATTCCTCATCTCTGACGAAGATGTTGGCGCCGGAGATAAGCAGTTGCGTTACTGCGTCAGCGTAACCAAAAGTCGCTGCGAGGAACAGGGGCGTCATGTTCTGCTTGTCGGTCTCCTGGGGGTAATATGAGATGGTAAAAATAGGTAATATAGGTAATTAGAAAACTGGAGGAAATTTACCGAGGCATTTATTCAGAAACGTAAAAAGACAGCGGGTTATACTTCTCTCAAAATCTCACAGGCAAGAAGGCAAATAAAAAAATATAAAGAAAATAAGATTCATTTTTTAGTATACAATCACGAATTCGTGCCAATTATATGTGAATAATATAATTTATTGCGAATTGCGCCGTCTAAATAGGATTTATTATCAATTGATAAAATTGTTGTGTCAACACAGCGCGCGAGTCACGTACCTCAATGAGAACCTGCGGGTACGAGAGCAGGTCGCGTATGGCCACATCATTGCCCCTCATGCAGGCGTAGTGCAGGGGCGTGAGATCGTACACGTCAACAGCATTAACGTCAGCGCCGTTCTCCACTAACAGACGTACCACCGAGTCGTTGGACGGCTTGCCGAAACGCGAGACGTCACCCACGACAGACGGGTTATTGGCTAAGAGCAGCTCTGCAAAAGATGGGGTCGTGGGCTTATTATGTCGGAAATTTATAGAGGAAAAAATATAAATATCCGGGCATTGAAAAGTAGATTGATAATTTAAAAAAAGAGAAACATTTCAGCTTTGAAATTGAGAACTTTATCCTTCAAATGAATGTGTTAAAAGTAACATGAGTGAAACCTCCGAGACAAAAGTAAATTACTGTCCATAGAAGTTGAATTAACAAGAAATTTAGAAGCAAAGAAGATGACACAGGAATTCGCCATATCTCTATTAAGAAAAACGTTTCGGAGTCCAGTTCCATCGTCACTTCAACAATCTAAAAAGTAAATACAATCATTTTATGATCCAAACTTCAAAGTCAGATTGACAAATAAAAGACAAATCAGCCTAGAATAACACAACAAGACTGGCCTCTCTGTCAATAATCTCAAGGGGGTGGGAACTGAGTGCGGAATTTAAGCTTGGCTTCTGTTTGAAAATATAGAGGGATTCTAAAGTTCGTAAATCAGAAAGACCGGAAGTGGAAGCTAAAATTCTGAAGTCACAGTCACTATCTGTAGTAAATAAAATTCGATTCAAACACTAATACATCGCAGTTTTTCGCATTTACTCAACCTTCCATGTCTTGCAATCTGAACTTGAATTTTTGCGCTGTACCTTAATTCTCCCTCAATGGGTTCCCGTCTCATTTGGTCTTTACTCACAATTAAGAATTTTTTGTCTGAACAATATACAATATTTTTGACTAAACAATATGTATTTTTCGTCTAAACAATATTTTAGTCTGAGGTTGCTCCCGAATGTGATAATAGAAACGTTGTTTACTATTCATTCCCATACTTCGGCTCAGCATCTGAAACTATGTGTTGAGAATTGAAAGTTTCATTCATGAAGTACTTTCTAAATGTCAATAGTCGGGTATTTTTCGTGAATAATTTTAAGATCAGCTCCTTCTTAGGGTATAAAGTTTCTCTCCCTGACTTAATGCGAACGTCTCTTGTTTACATATTTAGTTTTGCGCAATGCGCATCAGCTTACGTCGGTATGACGTCACACAACTTTTATTCTAGAGTTGCTGAGCATAAAAACAGGAATTATCGAACAGAAAATTTACTAGCTTTACCCCCCTCATACAGCAGTCCGAATTCATGCCACTCCACCGTGTCCCGTTGCCCGACAGTGACTTCAGAATTTTAGCTTCCGATACAGGTCTTTATGATTTACGAATTTTAAAATCCCTATATATTATCAAGCTTAAGGCTAGCTTAAATTCCGCACTCAGTTTCCATCCCCTTGAGATTTTTAACAGATAAGCCATTCTTGCTGTTCTATTTTAAGTTGCTTTGTGTTTTATTTGTCAATTTTAGGTTTTACTGTCTGACTTTGAATTTTGGATTATAAAATGAATGTATTTATTTTCTAAACTGTCAAACTGAAGATGTAGCTGAACTTCGAAACGTTTTCCTTTATGAAGATATACTGAATTTCTGTACTATCTTTTTCGTATTAAAATTCTTTGTTAATTTTTAAGGAAAGCGTGAAATCTATTGAATTGAAAGCGTTCTCTGGATCAGAAATACAGCGTTTTACAACATGACATTTTCATGGGTTCACAGCCATAGAGTTAACGTAGACTGGGATTAAAAAATAAAAACAAGGGACAATAATTGAACTACTTAATTCGAGTTCAGAATCTTAGAAGAACTAAAGGGGTAAAGAAGAACTAAAGTGGGGTGGGTTCACTTGAAAAGTTCAACCAAAATCTTATGGATCGGAGTGAGAAAATACGAATGACAATTGAATCAAATAAAACTGATCACACTTTTAAAAGATAAGTAAATCGAATTAAAATTTGGAATGGATTCACTACAAGGCTTTGAAGTAATAATAACTGCATAAGGATTGGTGACTCACCCTTTTCATTGGAGATGCTCGGATTGTCCTGCTCCGTTTTCTCCTCCTCGATTGTATCGTCAGAAGTGATAGGATTGACTTGCCGACTTGCTCTGCGACTACGAATCGATTTGATGGATTTCCGATACCTGGTCAAATTTCAGTAATTAATTTCCATATGTTATACCTATACTTCATGTTTCTTTTTGCGTTTAACTTGTGTTCCATTGGAAGTGAAAGAGCGATAGTTACAGTATGATATCCATTCACAAATACATAAATACTAATGTAAATGTAGTAAATCTTAAGTAAGGCTCGAGCCTTTACATCTATTCATCAAAACTCATGCATCAGGGCTCGGATCGCAAGTCTGGTGCAACAAGTCCTGTGTATCAAGCCCCGTATATAAAATCGCGTTCACCATGACTTGTTCATTAAATTTCGTGAGGCAGGTACGCGCAGCACAGAGCACGCAGCACGCACCATTGCATCGCGCAGCGCCCACCTGGGGGCACAGTTTACGTAGCACGCCCCATATCATCACGCATCGATCACGCCCCTTATCATCACGCCCCAATTCATCACGCAGCACGCCCCATGGCACCACGCATCACGCCCCTTATCAGCACGCCCCATATCATCACGCATCACCCCCTTATCAGCACGCCCCATATCATCACGCAGCACGCCCCGTATCATCACGCATCACCCCCTTATCAGCACGCCCCATATCATCACGCAACACGCCCCATATCATCGCGCATCACGCCCCTTTTCATCACGCCCCATATCATCGCGCATCACGCCCCTTATCATCACGCCCCATATCACCGCGCATCACGCCCCTTATCATTACGCCCCAATTCATCACGCAGCACGCCCCATGGCACCACGCATCACGCCCCTTATCAGCACGCCCCATATCATCACGCAACACGCCCCATATCATCGCGCATCACGCCCCTTTTCATAACGCCCCATATCATCGCGCATCACGCCCCTTATCATCACGCTCCATATCATCGCGCATCACGCCCCTATCATCACGCCTCATATCATCACGCAGCACACCCCTTATCATCACGCAGCACGCTCCATATCATCACGCAGCACGCTCCATATGATCACTCATCACGCCCCATATCATCACGCATCAGGCCCCTTATCATCACGCCCCAATTCATCACGCAGCACCATATCATCACGCAGCACCATATCATCACGCAGCACCATATCACCACGCCCCACCTGGCGGCGCAGTGCAGCGGCGTAAGCTCGTCCTGGCCCCTGATGTTGACCAGAGCGCCGGCCTGCAGCAGCGTCTTGATAACGTCAGGGTGAGCGTAGCGCGCAGCGTAATGCAGCGGCGCCAGGTGATTGCTGTCCAGCTGATCGATGCGCCCGCGCCTGTGCTCCCCCAGCCGACTGATGGCTGACGCCAGCATGGCGCTGTCACCGTCACGAGCCAACTGGCGCCAGAAACACGGAGATGCTTGAGTTAGAAATGTAATTTAAAATTTAAATTTAAGTCTGTTGAATTTTGTCGCCGTCACGCGCCAACTGGCGCCAGAAACACGGGAATGCTTGTGTTAGAAATGTAATTTAAAATTTAAATTTAAGTCTGTTGAATTTTGTCGCCGTCACGCGCCAACTGGCGCCAGAAACACGGGAATACTTGTGTTAGAAATGTAATTTAAAATTTAAATTCAAGTCTGTTGAATTTTGTCGCCGTCACGCGCCAACTGGCGCCAGAAAAACGGGAATACTTGAGTTAGAAATTTACAATTTAAGGCTGTTTTAAATTAGTTTCTTAAATTTAAGGCTGTTAAATTTAATTTCTTATGCGAACGTTATCGCAATTTTCTCTCATATGAGTAAAGAGTAAATGTGTTGAATATATGAATAATTAAAGACTTAAAAATTAAAAATATCTGAAGTTGAATTTAACCTTTCATGATATTGAGAGTTTAAGAATAATGCAAATGCAGGAATTGACATTATCACGACTACAAGTTACGTAACCATTATTGCAAGTACTTTACTATGCATGATTAATTATCTGGTATTGTTCCAGTAAAATCAGCAAGGATACAAAAATTCTCCATCGATTTGTAGATTAGAAAATTCAATTCGACGATCCATGGAATAGTTTTTGTTTGCAATAATACGATGCTCATAGGGCTTTACATAGGCATCGTTACTCTAACTTAACATACAAGAACAACTTAGAAAACTTGAGCAAATCTCTCACTTTCGCGCGTCAATGAGGTAATGTAAACCGCTCAAGCCATACTCCCATTTTCGTAAGACCCATTTAATTCATTCAAATATGAACTTATTTCATGCCCGGTGTTGCCCGAGCTCAATAATCAATGCAATTTTATACTTCCGCCACTCCGTATCCCCTCATTCCAGTTGTCTCTATTTCTTTTAATAATAATAATAAAGCAATGAGACACATTTAAAAAAAAAGATACCGGACCAAAACTACATTTCTCATGAACATAGAACAACCATTTGAATATCGTTTCAAAAATATGAACGTATTATTTTGCGTAATCCAAATCGAATTCCTAAATCCTCATTAAAAATCAAAGTTCAATTGTTAATCCGATCTTTTCCATACGGCTCTGCAACGCCTTTCACTTCTACCAGTACAGATAAATTTTCAAGTTCATGCATGGTAAAATTCTGCCATGATAAGTATCGTGGATGCACCCGCATTCGCCAAACCTTAAACAATCCAACACAAATACATTAACAAACAAACAAATAAACTTTGACACACATTTAGAAGGTTAGTAGCCACATTTATATAGGTTCAGGCAAGCGGCAGTCAATTCCCAAAATTTGGGGATGACTCCCCCCTATAGCCTTCCTCGTATCGATCCCCTAGCCTCCCTAGCTAGCAGGCACGATGTTATATCAATTGTGTCCCGATGGATCCCCCACCCCCAGCAGGTTGAATTTTACATTAATTGGATCCCGAAGGACCTCTGCTCTTGGGGCTCATCCCGGACCACAACTGAGAAAATATCCCTGCTGCAGGGGTCGTCGGTACCTCGCGAAGTATGACATGCTTTTGACTGACTAGGAAGAGTAGTGCATACTTTCTAAGACCATCCTCATAGTCTGCGGTCCTGTTAGTTGACTTTCAATCTCTATATAATTTTATACCAGTTCAGTTTTAACATAAAATTAGCACATACACAGTCTGTTTACACCGTATTAAATCGAAATACTTTTTCTCCACTCCAAATACTTTTTAGCGCATGGAATGCTGCACACGGGCTCGGTCTATCACACCACAAACTGTTCCATAAAAGACTCATACGTACGTTTCCAATACTGATTTTTTGAACTTGATATAAATGTCTGCACTCGTATTAACTAGTTTTCCTCCAATTCATCAAATTCACTTCTCTCACTTTTCATGCCTTCAGCTCATACGCCACGGTGTGATTTTATGACGTATTATTTTTTTTCATGACGATAATTGTATATATGAAAACGCAGGAAGCCTAGGACGCCTGACAGAAAATTTACTTTATTCCAGTTAGTAAAATAGTCACCTATTCTCTTAAAAACAAAAGAAAATTTCACAAATTGACCAGTGCAAATGAGACAGGCGCTTTCATCAATAAACGAGACAGATGACAGATGTATCGACAGGTTCTCATTACCGCAGCGATTTATAGATTATTCAGAACACTTGCAGGGAACGGCGTGCCTGGTAAACGTACGAAATGGTTGAAAATAGTAAATAGCATCATTCCGTTCCCTCAATATCAGCGGCGAAATTCTTATTCCATACTCGGAGGAGCAAGCGAAAGCAAAAGAAAAACGAAACTGGAGTCACTTAAATGTTAACCTTGGCTACAATTTTAGTAACTTAATATATTAACTGGTTAACAAAATTTGGCTGAAATCATATTACACAGAAAATGTGTTTATATGACCTTATTTCTGTGTGAGTATCCACCCCAGCCATAAATCATGGCTGGAGGGCGTTCAGCCGAAAGGGTAAATCAACTCCAGCTATTTTACATGGGAGACAATATTCCGAAGCATACAAGCACACGCTATTTCACCATCTTCTCCCTTTTGCCGATGAGAAACATGAGGGATCATATGTTTTCCAGCAAGACAATGCTTCGATTCGTACCTCGAAGTCAGCAAACAAGTGGTTACAAGAGCAGAATATTAACCTATTGACATGGCCAGCACTATATAGTCCAGACCTCAACCCCATTGAAAATCTATGGGGAATCATGGCGAGGGATGTTTACCAAAATGAGCGCCAGCTCCAATCTGTGAGTGGCCAAAGCACGGCTATAACATAACATAACATAACATAATGATGTCGGCGCTGAAAATGTAGGCCTGATGTGGCCTGTCGCCGATTCTTTTCCTTTTCGTGCCTTGTTCATAGATCTAAACTCGTATCATTTGATCGGATCTTTTCATGACTGGCGATAGTTTGAAATAGCTACTAGACTTCCACCGGGTTCGATAAGGAGCTAGGCATTTAAGGTAACTGTCTGGACTTCGCTCAGAGATATCTCTTTGCAGTACTTGCAAACTTCCATCTCTAGCTGGGCTGATTTGGTTTTATTTTTTATTCTAGAGGCCGTAGATGGCTTTTCTCTAGAGGCCGTTGAGGGCTTTTCGACTATCTTTTTTATTTTCTTTCCAGCCATTATTAAGTGCACGAACTAGATCTCTTGAACGGAGAAAAATACAGAAAAGGACGGAGAAACATACGACTGAGTTTCAATGCACGAAGGAAAACACAAGTGTAAAAACTGAATTGACTTGAGTAGAGTTGAAGTTAAAATTCTATTTAAAACAGAATTGGAAATTAAAAATACAATGCACGGAAACACACAATTTTGAAACTGAATTTACTTTGAGTAGAGTTAAAGTTCCGTCAAAAATTACGACTCTAGCTGAGCAAGGGGACTCAGCTGAACAGCTGAGCGAGGGGAGAGGGGTTGGCTGAGGGAATGAAAGGCTCGCGGCAGAGGGGTAGAGAGGGTGAGGGGCAGGATAAGAGTCCCTAGACGGCGGGCAGCGTAGAAGTAGACGGAGGGGCAAGGGTGAAGTTGACGGAGCTCGGCTCGAGAGAGTAGGCTTAACAGAGTGCACTTGGCATATCTTTGACACAAGGTGCCATCACTCACTAGATTTACCCTTGTTTTTTAGCATTACAAAACAGGGAACCGCTATTTACTTCCACTCTCTGTTTGCATTCTCTTTCACTGACTTCACTTCAAGTCCTTTTAGTGAGACGTTTCAATACAAAATGCGTTAATACAGTTCAACCGCATTGTGAAAAGGCAAGCTGTGAGCCCGCGCAGCACGCACGTCTGTCTTGTGACACCGCTCAACCGCAACCGCTCTATCCTTCGTTCTGGGATAAAATTCCTCAAAAGACTCTGTATTATTTGGTAAATCGCATGGGGTTAAGAGGCATTAAGGTAATTAAGGCGAATTGATGTAAGATTGCCTATTAAAACGAGTGTATGGGATCCAAAAACGGGAAAACCTTTCTTGGTCTTATAACCATTTCCACCTATGGTTCACTAATTTTCATCATTTCTTCTCATATATTTTGAAAAATCAGAATAATTTTTTTTTCGCATAGCGTTGAAACCGTTTTAAACGTAGTTCAACCTCGTATAATTAGAATTTAGTATCTTTTTATGCAAGAAAAAATATTTAGAGAAAACTGGGTGGTCGTATAGCCATTTCCGCCACTGTACTCGACTCCATAAGCTCCAAGAGACTCGACTGCCATAAGCTGTATTAACACTCACGTCAAGTCAGCAAATCAACATGTTTTTAATATGAGTTAAATGGGGAATGGGTTATGCATATGAATAATTTGCAGTCACAAACGCAAAGCACAAAATACTTCACAGAAGGAACCTAATTCCAGCTCGTGTGCGATTCGAAAGTTTGTAGCGATGCACGCTTTAATGATAAATGTTTACAGCCCGAATAGTGTGACTAAAATCATCGACCGCATCACTAAAAGCTTTCGACCAACATCCCTGCATCGACTGACACACATAGGGAAAAAATTCTTACGACCACTTCAAAGCAGGATGTTGTATGCAAAGTGGCAGAGACGTCAAGAAAATGAATGGCTCATAAGAGAGCATATTCAATAATTCCGAGATACCGCTGGAGTAGTAATGTCGATAATCGAACGGTAAACAAAGTGAAAAAATTACTGCTGGGCCTTCCGGAAGCAGAAGCACAACCTCAAGGAAGCATGAACTATATACATGCATGACATTATGCTGAAAAACCTAATGATAAACATTCTTCAAGTTATTTGTAACATTCTCCAACATTTTAGGTTCTGGAAGTGACACTTTAGGTAGATAATTGTATGAACGATAATTTAACACAACGTTCGTGCGTTTAATTTGTCGAAACATTTCAATTTAATTAGTCGAAA